ATAGAAACCTATTTGAAAGAGTAATGAGAAAAAATTTCCCTAATTTGTTGACAGAAAAAGTCACACAAATCCAGGAATCACAGAGAGTCCCAATCAAGAGGAATCCAAAGAGGCCCACTTCAAGACACATTATCATTAAGATGGCAAAATTCCAAGACAAAGAGAGAATCTTAAAGGCAGCAAGGGAGAAAAAGGATATAACATACAAGGGAGCCCCAATAAGGTTCGCTACTGACTTCTCAATGGAAACACTCCAAGCAAGAAGAGAATGGCAAGAAATATTCCAAGTAATGAGAACCAGAGCCCTACAACCAAGGCTACTTTACCCAGCAAGGCTCTCAATCAAGATAGAAGGACAAATAAAGAGCTTCCAAGACAAAAGAAGTCTAAAAGAATACGCCAAACCAGCCCTACAAGAAATACTAAAAAGACTACTTTAAGGGAAGGAAGGAAAAGACGGAGACAGAGAGGAATACAGGTACAAAAATGGCAGTGAATAAGTACCTATCAATAATAATCTTAAAAGTAAATGGATTAAATGCTCCAATCAAAAGACACAGAATAGCTGAATAGCTAAGAAAGCATGACCCACACATATGCTGCCTACAAGAGACCCACCTCAGGACAAAAGACCATCACAGACTAAAAGTGACAGGCTGGAAACAAGTTTTCCAAGCAAACGAACAAGAAAAAAAAGCTGGGGTAGCAATTCTGATATCGGACAAAATAGACTTCAAAAAAAGGGCCATAAAGAGAGACCCAGAAGGTCACTTCATTATACTCAAGAGAAGAATCCACCAAGAAGACATTAACATCATAAATATATATGCACCAAACATAGGGGCACCCAAATATATCAAGAAAATGTTAGAGGACTTCAAAAAAGATACTCAGCAACACAATTATAGTAAGGGATTTTAACACCCCACTATCAAAAATGGACAGGTCTTCCAAACAAAACATCAACAAAGATACTGCGGCATTAAACAACACCCTAGATGAAATGGACTTAACTGATATATATAGAGCCCTTCATCCCAAAGAAGCTAAATACACATTCTTTTCAAATGCACATGGAACATTTTCAAAAATAGACCACATGATAGGACACAAAACGAGCCTCAAAAAATTCAAGAAAATTGAAATCATACCAAGCATTTTCTCTGACCACAAGAGACTGAAATTGGAAACCAACCCCAAAGGAAAAAACTCAAAGCACCCAAAACCATGGAGGCTGAATGGTATGCTATTAAACAAGGAATAGACAGATTTTTTTAAACAAGACACATAAAAAGTCAATATCTTTCTTCTCAGATGACATGATCATCCATGTAGAAAATCCAAAAATAATCAACAACCACCAAAAATCCTAATAAAACTAATATGTAATTCTATTATAGCGAGGCTGCAGGATATAGGTTTACATACAAAAGTTCATTGCTTTTCCAAACACCAGCTTGGAAAAAGTGAAATGGACCATTGAAATCTGAAATGAAGAATATACCATTCACACTAGCACCAGCCCCAATAACTGAAATACTTAGATATAAATCTAACAACATATGTACAAGACCTATATGAGGAAAAGATAAAATTCTGATGAAGGCTGTGTTTCTCTGCTCATTTTGGCAGCCTCCCTGTGTTTGTTTCTATGTATTAGGTAGAGTCAACAAATAGTGGTAGAACAACTGGACATCCCCAAGGACTCATGATGTGTTCAGTGACAAAGTTGAGATTTGAACTCTGGTAAACCCAATCCAGTGTCCATGAGCTTATCTTTTGTACCATGAAGATCTCCATTATGTGCAGGCCTCACATAGAGGTCTACTATCTTTCAAATGTGTGAAACAGAGCTGCCACCACTAAAATACGCAAATCCATAAATGTTTCATGAAATGTATAGTAGCGCTTTTTACCAGTGGTATAGTTTGTGTTTTCTCAGTCGACAGAGAACAAACATAGCAAGAAATTATGGAAGCGTCCTTACCATGTTTGGTATTACAGTTTTGACACAAGTCATGCTGGTAAGGTTCTAATTCTTCAGTTCGGTGCTCTCCTGCCAAGTTTCATTACATTCTGTGTTATCTAATGTACACACACACATATCTGCGCACACACTCATCTCGCATTCTTCTGAGTGATCCAAATACTAAATATTTTTTAAATGTTTAAGAGCACTGACAATCTGTGAAGAACAAATAGCGCCTTTAAAAAACAAGGTGTCCTCATGTGTGAAGGATGAGCCTAGCATTAGAGAGATGACCCAGATGAGCTCAGGATGGCTTGTTTTGGCAATGACAAAACTTCTGACCTTAGCATGACTCATCTACAGGGTACAGTGGATGATTTTTTTTTAAGTATGTTCTCTCTCTCTCTCTGGCAAAAAGGGGAAAATTTCAGAAGGATTGTGAATGATTGCATGATACCATTGAAAATAACTAGACTGTTAAATATCTCTGACGAGACCACTAATTGAAACGAGCTAGGAAAGGGGTAAGGAACAGGAGCAAAAACCAAACACCCGTGCACTTCTATACTGAATATGCGTAAGTTTTCAGTCAGAAGAATGTGTAAGTATTACAATCAGAAGAATGTAATGTAAATAACTAGAATCCTGCTCTGAATTTCAAGCACCCAGTGCCTACTCCCTCCCCATACTCCCCACTCCCTCCCATCTTCCAGCCCCCATAGCCACTCACTGAGTGGGTGAAGAGCCTTCTTGCTGAAAACTTTTCCTTCTTGTCCTTCCCCTTTCCCTTCTACCCTAATTTTCCCTTCTCTTATAGGCCTCCATATTTTTATCACTTTGTCCCAATTGCCACCACTGCACTGATCACGTTAGGGTGAGGAGCCTTATGTATTGTCCACCTGCTTGAAGGTGGGCACCATGCCAGAGAGCTGACATACACTGTCTCTTCTTTAACCATCACAACTGCCCTCATTAGCAATGTTACTGCCCCAATAACCTGCCCCAGATCAAACGGTTAGTACATGGGCAACCCGAGTCTGTGCTTACTCCCATGCAGGTGTTCTTTCTACTGCTATTAAGTTACCCATTTATGCAATGACAGACTCATCTTAAGTGCTCAATTAATATCTGCTGACAGGAATCAAAAAGACATGGACTTATGCTGTTTGCTCCCAATAAAAAAAAAGGTGCAGAAAAGCATTACTCTAAAGGTGAAGTTGTCTCTTCCATTCCAGTCTTTTCTGCTGAATAATACACAATGGCCCTAGCATTAAAAACTAGCACATGCTGAGACTAAGCAGGTGCATGAGATAACAGTAAGATCACTGCCACACCTGCGAGCCAGCAGCCTACCCTCCATCCCTACCACCTGGAAGTTTGGAGGGTTTTAATACCATATCCTTCGATGATATCCCCAGTCATCTAAGAAGAAATGTCTTGACCTGATTGATGTAGCTCAGTGGCTTATTGATGGTCGTCCTGCAAAGCCAAAGGCTGCGGGTTTGATTCCTTATCAGGGCACATGACTGGGTGGCGGGCCAAGTCCCAGATTGGGGGATCAGCGAAAGGCAACCTACCGATGTTTCTCTCACATCCATTTTTCTCTCCCTTTCTTTCCCCTTCCCATTCCCTTTCTCTAAAAAAAATTAGTAAACAAAAAAAATTTTTTAAGGAAAGAGAAATGTCTTAGTTGTGGCTAAATTCACTTGCTGTAAATTGCTGGAGGCACCCGTTTTACTTCTTCTGCATCTCCTTTCAGTAAAGTTTCAGAGAGGATAATGATGAATTGAATTACCACATTATGTTAAGGTACTGAAAGTGCACGTGTAAACGGCCCTTTTGGTTACCTAACCTAAATGGGACAGTTTGCCTACAATAGCACAGTGCCGGGCCCATAGCCAGTGCTCAAAAAATGTATTATTGTAATAAAATTCATATAGCCAATTATTATTTGATACCACTAACCAGGCACTATGCTAAATTGAGGTTAAGTGCTTACCAAAATCAAGATCCTCTCTACAAGAATCTTTTCGTCAAAAAGCAATTGTTTGAGCCCTGGCTGGTGTAGCTCAGTGGATTGAGCACGGGTTGCGAATCAAAGGGTCGCCAGCTCAATTCCCAATCAGGACCCATGCCTGGGTTGCAGGCCAGGCCCCAAGTATGGGGTGTGCAAGAGGCAACCACACATTGATGTTTCTCTTCCTCTCTTTCTCCCCTTTCCCCACTCTCTAAAAGTAAATAAAATCTTAAAAAAAAAAAAAGCAATTGAGTAACTAGGTGCTGCAGAGCTTTGACCCACCACACTGGCACTCTACCCTCCACAGATCCATAAACAGTTGGTAACCAAATAATAAGAAAATACACCTTGCCACAGCCTTTAGTAAAATGGAACGACTTTCACAACTTGAAACAATTTTTTGTTTTTAAATATTAACCTAATGAGCAGTTTAATTATTGTCAGGGACGGATCATCCAATACGTGCCCCGTATAAGAATCCTTAGCTCAGCGAGTCATTTCGTGCAAATCGACTGACTGCTCTTCAAAGAGCTGAAGGAGGTACATCTTCCCGGCTCTGGGAAAATTGACGCTGTTCTCGTCCAATTCTGTGCACTGGGGTAAGCGCTCCTCACTCACTGCGCCTGCACCAGTTCCCCAGTTCCTGTACCCTTCCGGTCTTCCTCCCCAATCGTTAAGTGTCCTTGCCGAGCGAACGCGGGGAGGCCGACCGACTGTATTTACTGTCGGCATTTATAAATACGCTCATCTGGGGTCCCAAGGGAGACGGACGCGCTGCCAGTGACGTCCCGCAAACCACTCTCTGTGCAAACCACGAAGCAGGTTGCCGAGTACGGGGAGAACCTGGCTTGGCAGGCTAAGTACTGGAGTGATGACGGAGGGGCTTGGAGAAGGATCTGGAAGAATCCGGTTAGATCGGGAAGCGGAAGAGCCCAGGAGAGCGTGGTGTCGGGGGGTGGGAAGGGCGGTCCTCAGATTCCGAGGAGCCCTAGAGTGGGGGGAGGAGGGCCAGGCAGCCAGCTGGAGGAATGAACCACAAACAGAAAATTTCACTTTAGCCCCCACATCATTATAGTCCTAACCCCCTTAGCCTCCGGCGTCTCGAGAAACGTCTTCACCCCCACCCCCTCGGTCCCGCGCTCCAGCTCCGGCTCCTCCCAGCCCCTCCCCCCGCTGCGGGTGGGACCAATCACTCCCTGTGCGGCTCAGAACCCGCCTCCTGCACCTCCACAGCCTCCTCTGCAGCGGGCGGCGAGCGCGCGGGGAACCTGAGGGGCTCGAGCCTTGGACCAGTTAGTTCGAAGGTCGGAGGCTGAGAAGCCGGCGCTCGCACCCAGGTGCAGACCGGCCGGCGGCTGAGAGGGCTTTTGTCTCGCGCCCTCTGCCCAGCTCCCAGAGTAAACGGCGCTCGGAGCGGCCATGACCGCCGAGGAGATGAAGGCGGCCGAAAGTGGGGTGCAGCCGGCGCCCCTCGGAATCGAGGGAGTGGACATCAGTCCCAAGCAGGATGAAGGCGTGCTGAAGGTAAGGGCGGGGACGCCGGGGGAGCACGGAGCCAGCTGGGGGCGGCCGAGCCCGGAGCGTCCATCGCAGCCGCTTTCCCGCCGAGTCTGGAAGCCCCTGGCCGAGACACGGGGCGGGGATGGCCGCCTCTGCTGGCTCCGGGCCGGTCGTGGAGTGCTCGTGCAGCCGGCGGCCAGTTGCGTTGCCTTTCTGAACTAGGCTGTATAGTTTGGGAGTTGAGGACGGCCTCAGGCTCTGAAGGGGGTAGCCTAGGTGCGCGGACCTACTTTTGGCCGTTATTCCAGCCCCCTTGGAGGCCGGTGGTCCGGACCTAGGCCCCCAGCTCAGCAGCGCCTACTGCGGCGTTCCCGGTGCAGTGAGGCGGGGGAGTAGGGGAGGGACGGGCTCGCCGGTGCACGCCGAGAGGTAGCTAGGTCCCTTGGGCAGCGTGCACCCGGTGCGAGGCCTGCTGCGACCCCGCAGCTGAGACCAAACTGCAAGCTCCATCCTTGCCAGCCGCAGCCTGGAAGGCCCGGGCCGCCTTCACCGTTGGTGGCGCGAGAGCTTGCCAACCCTTGGCGATTAAATATTAGCTAGGACCAGAAGCGGTCACAAGAGTAATTTCCTCACCCAGAGCCTTCTGTGCAACTTGTTCCCCGGACCTGGCCTCGAGGAAGGTTCTGGTACCCTCCATCCTTTAGGTAGTCCTTTTTTAAAGGCTGGGGCTTAGCTAGGTCACCCGCACGGCTTTGCTGTATCCCCTCCCCCAACCCTGGGAAACCGAGGGAGCGGTGCATGCCGGGACCTGTAGTTCCTCCTTGCACCTCGGACCGTCCCCCACCTCCCTGATTTGGGACCTAAAGGAGGTGCTTTGCTTGGGAGCCTGCTGCTGTGCGTGAGATAGGCAAACCTCCTGCAGTCCCTATCTGCTCCACAAATGCATGTGACTTTTCCCCCAAGATCTTGGAATCTTAGTCTGCTCTGCCGGTGGGCATGTGGCTTTCCCTTCTCTCTCTAGGGTCCTAGTGATTTCTACCAAGTGTTTATTCCAGGTCCCTTTTATCCTCCATTCCTTTCCCTTAATTTTTCTACTCAATCCCCTGTCTGTTCTATCGTGGAACCTTTCCTTAGAGGGCATGACACACCTACCAGATGGCCCATGGAGGGACCTTTGATAAATGCTAAGAAAGAGAAGCCTCGTCTTGTGAATTCCTGGGAAATACTCTTAGCCCCAAAATAAAGGACTCGAACTATCCTACCAGTCAGGAATGCTGTGTCCAGAGTCTGAGTTAAGGGCCAGATTGGGAACCCCAGTGCTGGTCCATAATGTGGCAGATTCCCTCTTTCACAGGCTTCATTACTCACATTCCTCTCCTCATCTCCAAACCCGACTCTGATCAGAGGGTCACTGGCATTTAAGAGGAGTGAGAACATAGAGCGTAAATATTTTCTTCCTTTGCTGCTGATAAACTTTACCAATTGAGTCCTTCAACAACTCTGACAGAGATGGTCATTACTCCAAATAAGGTAGAGAGAGTTTGAGTGACTGTCCGAGATCATACAGCAAAAACTTGAACTTGAGTCTTTTGTCTCCTGGGTTTGTTTTCTTTGTTGTTGTTTTGTTTGTTTTTAAGAGGGAGACCTATTTGTTGTTCCACTTAATTGGGTGCTGCTTGTGTATGTGCCCCAACTGGAGATCAAATCTGCAACCTTGGTCGAGACGACAGTCTAACTGACTGCACTGTGTGGCCAGGGCTTGTCTGCATCTTTTCAAAGCAAGTCATGTTACACCTCAAGAAAGATGGGAGGTCATTTGGCTTCTAGCCAAGCTTTGTATCAGAATCCTTTGACATTGGTCCCCTGACTCTATTTACAAGGAGGCAGGAGACTCCCTCTATGTACCTGTCAGAAACATGCAGGCTGTTTTGTGCCTCTTTCTGTCCCCATCCCCATCCCTGGGTACTCACCTTCTCCCCTTTCCTCCCAGGTCATCAAGCGAGAGGGCACAGGCACAGAGATGCCCATGACTGGGGACCGAGTCCTAGTTCACTACACTGGCTGGTTGTTAGATGGCACCAAGTTTGACTCCAGTCTGGACCGAAAAGACAAATTCTCCTTTGATCTGGGAAAAGGTAGGCCAAACCTAGGCTTGGTAGCTAGGTTTCAGGGAGGATGTAAGCGGTCACAAGCAGGGACCATGTTTTCAGAAGCTTGAGGAGGAATGGTTTAGTGCAAACTGCTGCTTTCGCTGCTGCTGTTGCTCCTTTTTCTCGCACTGTTCAGTAACTCCACTAATTCCTCTCCTTGCTCTGATCACTCTGAGTACCTCACTTCCTGTTCAGAAGGGACTGCCTTGTTTCTTGAATATCTTTGTTCCAGAGTTGAGCAGTTTGGTTTTTAGGGGGTCTGAGATGACAGCACTGATTGCAGCCACATGTTTCTACCTTTCTGGTCCTATTTCTAAAGAGTGTCCAGCTTCCCCTCAGGCATCATACTCTAGGGCCACCAAGCCCAGTCAGTTCCCTGCCAAGGAGGAAGGACCTGTTTCCTTTCTGTACCTACAGGGGAGGTCATCAAGGCTTGGGACATTGCTGTAGCAACCATGAAGGTGGGAGAAATATGCCGCATCACTTGCAAGCCAGAATATGCCTACGGTTTGGCAGGCAGCCCTCCAAAAATCCCTTCCAATGCCACTCTTGTGTTTGAGGTAAGTGCCCAGCCAGGGAGCAAGGCATAGAGCCAGCTTTACCTGAGCTCAGGGCCTGGCTGCCCTCCAGTCCTTCCTACAGCTTGGAGACAATGTAGCCAAAGCTAAGGGTCTGGCCTTAAGGGTCAGAGAAAGGGCCAGGGCAGTTGGCAGTTGGCTTTGCTGTGCCCACAGCTTGCTGTTGCCAGAACTGAGGCTACGATGGAGGTTTCAGGTGGGAAGAGATGCCCATGAATCCCTCTTCAGAGTCAAGGCTGTATAGGCAGAGACACGTTTATCTCAAGAGTGGTGCTCAGAGGAGATGGGGTATAATTTGAAAGGAGCCAGGAGTTCAGAATGTGTTTGCAGTTACAAATGACAGTGTAGAATGTTGGCGCCTAGAGATAAGAGGAGGGGGGAGATGCCGCCCCCTGTGGGTCAGGGAGGTGAGGAAAGTTTCCTCTGAGGAGGTGGGACTTGACACTGGTCATTTTGCAAGTAGTTGAGCCCTAATCACCACCTACGACTTGGAGGATGTTCAGAAGACTGCTGAAAGATGTTGGGTCATTTCTAACACTGACTGGGCTTCTCAAGTAGCTGAGTCAGGATGGACTAGAACCTGTCCTTACTGTGCAGAGCAGGTAGCACATAGATTGATCTCCTGAGGTTACCTGAAATCTACCAAAGTTGATACCGGGGAAAATCCTGAGAACTTGGCAAAAGTGCCACTTCGTTCGCTCCTAGTGTGGCTGCCCTCCTGGTCAGACCTGGTCTGGCAGTTAGGAGGGACTTTTCTAAATGAGAGAGAAGTTGTGTCTCACTGTTGACAAGTTAGTGCTGACAGGACTTGTTGCCCTACCTTGTTTCACAGGTAGAGTTGTGCGAGTTCAAGGGGGAGGACCTAACAGAGGAAGAAGATGGAGGAATCATCCGGAGAATACGGACTCGGGGCGAAGGCTATGCCAGGCCCAATGAGGGTGCTGTGGTGGAAGGTGAGAACACCAGGGCGTCTTGGGGGCAGGAAGTGATGAGACCATAGAGGGATGCTGATGGCGTCCTTCTTCAGTCCCCCCCCCCCCACTCATGCACTTGGTCCATTGCCTTTCCTGCATGCCAGTCGCACTGGAAGGGCACTACAAGGACCAGATATTCGACCAGCGGGAGCTCCGCTTTGAGATCGGCGAGGGGGAGAGTCTGGATCTGCCTAGTGGGCTGGAGAAAGCCATTCAGCACATGGAAAAAGGAGAACATTCCATTGTGTACCTCAAGCCCAGGTAAGGAGTGGGCTTGGTAGAGCCCGTGGGTGAATCAAGGTCAGAGATCTACATGTTCCCAGTGAGTTAAATGGCTGGCCATGTGTATCCTCTTCTCAGTACGTGTTCACTGCCCCCACAGCCTCATTCGTGCTCACTGTGCCTCTGGGTACACCAAACATAGGCCGTTATGGTCTCTTCGCTGTATTTAGGAGCATGGCCACAACTGTCCACATCTCCTTGAATCAAAGCATAATCTTTTCAGTCATTGCTGCTGCAGACTCTCTCCTTCACCGACATCAAGGATTTCGTGCTCCATTGGTTCACTCACTCATTGGTGACTTTTATGGAAGCACACTTACTCTGTGCCATGCATGGTGCTGACAATGTCTAGTTTCTCAGACATTGTTCCTGCCACCTACTGACTCATTTTTCAGCGAGATGCCAGTTCAGTTAGTAATCATGCCAGTGTATGTACAGCAGGAGCTGTCACAGGGATGTGTAAGATACTGAGAGAATAACTAATTGGTTCGGAGGTCAGGGAAGATTCTGCCACATAGGACATGGAGGTACTTCTTGGGAAACAGAAAGTCTTTTCAGTGTAGAGCAGGTTAACTGCTGATGAGATGGCTTAGAGGCTTTTTCTGACCCCACAGCTATGCTTTTGGCAGTATTGGGAAGGAAAAGTTCCAAATCCCACCAAACGCTGACCTGAAATATGAAATCCACCTCCAGAGTTTTGAGAAGGTGAGTTGGCTCAAAGTCCTCCCCATCCTGAAGTCACCTCCCACCCTGGAGGTGACTCCCTGGGGTCACTGACGGTTGTGTTTCTCCCTTGGGCAGGCCAAGGAGTCTTGGGAGATGAATTCGGAGGAGAAGCTGGAGCAGAGCTCCATAGTGAAAGAGCAGGGCACTGTGTACTTCAAGGTGAGCCAGCAGCAGTGGTCCTGAGGACACACCCAGGGAGGGCTCCTCTGGGCCCACCTTTGCCCACTGGTGGCTGAGGTCAGTTTCTGCCAGGGAGTGGACAAGTGGCACCTGTAGTCTTCACTTAGTACAAGACAGCTGGTGTTGCCTGGGGGCATTGGGGTGGGCAGGACTCGACCACGGGTCTGTGTTGACTGCGAGGTATGACAGCCTGGTGCCACTGAGCCTCATTCCCATTCTAGGAAGGCAAGTACAAGCAGGCTTTACTGCAGTACAAGAAGATTGTGTCCTGGTTGGAATATGAGTCAAGTTTCTCTGATGAGGACGCACAGAAGGCATGGGCCCTTCGGCTAGCTTCCCATCTTAACTTGGCCATGTGTCATCTGAAGCTTCAGGCCTTCTCAGCTGCCATTGAGAGCTGTAACAAGGTGAGGCCCCTTTAAAGACACATTGGAGCAACTTTCACAGGCAAGATTGGGGGCGAGCTGCCGGCATGTCTAAAAGTTGCCCTCAGTGACTAAGGCAGGAATAATCAGGATGGACCATTGGGAGCTCAGCGATTCAGGACCCAGAGGCAGGGGATGAGAAGTAAGCACTTCAGGAATTCTATGCAGCAGAGAGAAAGAAGGAGCTACTACCTTTTGCAACAACTTGGATGGAACTGGAAAGCATTATGCTGAGTGAAATAGGCCAGGTGTTGAAAGACAAATACCATATGATCTCACCTTTAATAGGAAGCTAAACAACAAAACAAACAAGCAAGCAGAATAAAAACAAAGACACTGAAATAGAGAACAAGGGGACAGTGACCAGAGGGGAGAGGGAAGGGAATTTTAAGGGGAAAAGGGGAGGGATTTGGAGGAACAAATATCAAGGACACAGGGACGAGAACTAAGGGGGGTGGAAATGGGAGGGAGGTGGGGAGCACGGGATGGGGGGGGCTGGGATGGGACAAGTAGACAAAAAACTGTACTTGAAAAATAACTAAATAAATTAAAAAAAAAAAAAAAAGTAAGCACTTCAGTGGAAGGAGGCAGGTGGCCCAGAGCTAGAAGGACACACTGGATGGGAAGAGCTACTTAAGTGTTTGCTTCACCCTGGTTCTTAGCCTCTCCCTCTTACACACCTGCCTTATTCTAAAGAATTCAGAGGTTCTTCTCCATCTGAAGACCTGTCTTCCCTCTCTGCCTCCTCTTGGACTGGAAGAGATTCCTTTGTAGGCCTTGGTCTTGTCCATTTAATGTCCCAAGACTCATTCTTTTACGGGTGGAGCCAGCCATTTGCATTCCCCACCATCCTGCTGAGGGTACCTTGGAAACCCAGTCTTGGCCAGGTGAGCTACAGGAGCTGAGGTCTCACTGCTGATTCCTCCTCCATTATTAGGCCCTAGAGCTGGACAGCAACAATGAGAAGGGCCTTTTCCGCCGGGGAGAGGCCCACCTGGCAGTGAATGACTTTGACTTGGCACGGGCTGACTTCCAGAAGGTCCTGCAGCTCTACCCCAGCAACAAAGCTGCCAAGGCCCAGCTGGCTGTCTGCCAGCAGCGAATCCGAAAGCAGCTTGCACGGGAGAAGAAGCTCTATGCCAATATGTTTGAGAGGCTGGCTGAGGAGGAGAGCAAGGTAAGGATTTAGACAAGTGTAGGGACAAGGTAATGTCTCTTCTGTGCATCTCCTTGTCCCGAGCCCAATATAGCTGGTGTGGGCTCTTCGTCCCTGTGGTTGTTTATGCCAGTTCTGGAAACCAGAAGTTGCCCTCATCCCTGGAGCAGTGGCATGGATGTTCTCTCTGAGTAAAAACCCCTGCTGTCAGAGCTAGCATTCCTTGGTGGTCAGGGCAGGAAACCACTTGCAAGTCCTAGAGGTCTGGAGTCAGTTGCCCATTGTGCTTCCCAACGTGTGTTCTCAGTCCCTTTTTAAAATAGTAATGCAGTTACATAGCTAAATTCAAATTGTACAAAAATAATGTGTAGAGCATAATCACTAAAATATTTTTTTTTTTAAAAAAAAGAATGTGTAGGAAAAAGTCTACCACTGCTCAAAAGCAACTGATGTTACCAGTTTTGTATCATTTCAGGATATTGAACACATTTATAAGCAGACACATTGATGTTTACTCCCTTCTCCCTAATAAAAGGCAACATGCTCTACCTGTTTTTTATACCATGCTTTCTTGGTATCATACTTGGGTGCTTATTTTACATCAGTAACCAAAAGAGCTTTCACTTCCTTATGCTTATGTAGTTAGTATTTGATTGTACAGACAACATCACACCTCATTTACCCAGTGCCCTGTTTCTAGTCAGTGTCCTAAACCAGCACTGTCCAATGGAAATAAAATGCAAACCACATACATAATGTTAAATTTTCTAGTAGCTGTACTAAAGAAAAAGAAACAGGTGAAATTAAATTTTTTAAGATTTTATTATTTTTAGATAGAGGGATAGGGAGAGAGAAAAAACATCAATTGACTCCCTCTCACACACCCTCAAACCGGGACCTGGCCCACAACCCAGGCATGTGCCCTGACTGGGAATCGAACTGGCATCCTTTTGGTTCACAGGCCAACACTCAACCCACTGAGTCACACCAGCCAGGGCCGAAATTAATTTTAATACTTTCTAGCTGACTCAGGGCATCTAAATATTGCAATGTGTAATTCTTTTAAATTGAGTTCATGTGTTTTAGACTAAGTCATCAAAATTCAATGCTTGTTTTATACTTAAAACATATCCATTTGAGCTAGCCATATTTTTTAAAAATTTTTAAAGATTTCTTTTTCATGTTTTAGAGAGAGGAAAGGAGGGAAAAAGAGAAAAAGAAACACTAATGTGTGGTTGCCTCTCGCACGCCTCCCACTGGGGATCTGGGCCCTGACTGGGAATCAAACCAGTGACCCTTTGAATCACAGGCCGGCACTCAGTCCACTGAGCCACACCAGCCAGGGTGTGAACTAGCCATATTTAAAGTGGTCAGTAGCCACACGTAACTACCATGGTGGACAAGTACAGTTCTAAACCGTATTGTAAGAAATCATTTTATAAATTCATAGTTTTAAACATGTGCAAATGTATCTTCATGACACATCTCGAAAATTGCTGTGTCTGTGTAATCCTGCTAGAAGTTAATATGTACATTTTGGGGGGTATATTTTGTTGTTGTTTTTGGTTGTTTGTTTAGGTTTTATTTTAAACAGGGAAGGGAGGGAAAAAGAAAGGGAGAAAAACATCAGTTTGTGGTTGCCTCTCACACATTCCCCAACTGGGAACCTGGCCTAGCCTGCAACCCAGGCATGTGCCCTGAGTGGGAATCGAACAGGTGACCATTTGGTTTGCAGACTGGTGCTCAGTCCACTGAGCAACACCAGCGAGGACAATGTGTATTTTTTTTTTTTTTACTTGGGAATGAGTATGCGTTGGTACACACTATATATATGTGGTGTCAGGGTGCTAGGTATGTGTCATCAGATGGGCTGAGTGCAGGCAGGCAAGAGTGGGGGCATGGAATAAAAGTCACCTTTCTCATCAGGTGACTGGACCAAATGAGAACTGGAATTCATCCTCTTTCTTCTCACAGGCCAAGGCAGCAGGGGACCATGCTGATGCAGAGATGAAGGATGAGCAGAAGGATGTGGCAGGGAGCCAGTCTCAAGTGGAAACAGAAGCATAGCCTCCCTCCAGCCCTGTTCCTGCAGCTGCCTGCTTCCCCTGCTCCTTATTCTGCTCCACCCTGTTCGTTTTGTAAAAAACTGAAGAATTTTCAGTGAATTAGACCTTTATTTTTCTATCTGGTTGGATGGTGGCTTTGGGGGAAGGGGGAAAGGAGCAGGCTGGGGGATTGAGGTAGGGGATCATTTTAGGTGTTTTACCCCTTCTTCCCCTCCCCCTTTCCCCCCCTTCCCCCATTACACATGAACCAATGTCCATCCACACATACTCATAAGGATGTTAATTTATTTTGCTTCCGCTTTTTGGCTTGTCAATTTGTCAAATGGTAGAAGGGGGTTAGTGGTATGGATGTGGGGTCAGATGTGAAACCAGGGTGTAGAGGGAAACCTCCTGGGCAGCCATTTTCCTCCTTCCTGTCCATTTCAAAACACGTGGCCTCCATGTGGGTGCCAGGGGCATGGGAAAAACCATTGTTGTGCCCATTACCTCTCTGTTCCCTTCTTTACCCTGATGGTGTGGTTGATGTCTTCTGGTGTCATGATGACCACCCCCTCTATTCCCTCCCAGTATTTCCTCTCAGACCTGTTTGCCTTCTCAGCCAGGTCATGTCCCCCCACCCTCCTTACCACCTCAGCCTCTCTGCACGTTGCTGAAGGTCCAGGCCCATCTCAAGTTCTGCACTTGAGCAATAAAGTGGAAACAATAAAACCTGTGTCAGGCATCCCTTTTTGTTTGGGCCTCAGAGGGTGGGCATTGGTGGCCATACTGGGGATAAAATTAAGGGAGTTACCCACCATACACATCCCCAGTCCTGCTCAAATGCAGCACCTGGTAGAGAAGCTGTAGTTGGCCTTTTGGGCCCCACATGGGCTGCAGTCAGTGCCTTTGCTGAGGCCTGGCCATCGCTTCCAGCACTGCCCCCAGCAGCCCGGAAATGTTGCCACTTGGTCATCTTTCCAAACACAAAGAGGAACACGTGAACATCTAAAATATGGGGGCTACTTGTAATTATTTTTGAGGTTAGATTTGTCTGTTTCTGCCTGACTGAGCAGAAAGCACAAGCATCCTTGGCTTCTTTAAAATCCCAAAAGTCACTAACACCTCCTGTCTGAGACCTTTTCATGATGAAGATGAAGCAGGAAGAAGTCCTCGAGCCAGGGAACACAGGTGCTTAGGGCCACTTTCCAACTTCTTTCTGGGCCCTAACAGGAAAAAACGTAATGGTTTTTTTGTTGTTGTTGTTTTGACCCTTCACCCCTATAGCATGGGGTCCTGGGGAGAAGCCAAGGAGCACAGGCAGCAGGCCAGAGTGACATCCATGCCCCTATCCTGTGTGGGCTGTTAAATTCCTACACAGTGACAGATAGCATGCCTACCCACATGCCTGCAGAGTTCCTTCCGGAAGAATTTCCTTCATACTTTGACTATGGAAGATGAACTTACGTTTGCCGATTCATACAGCATGGCTGGTGCTGGAGCAAGAACTAAAATTTGGGGGTTCTGTTTTGCCGGTGTCCTCACTTTCTCTTTTGATGGATTCACATCATCATCCTGGGCTTGGCACTTGTGTCTTTGTGTTATTCCAAAGTTAGATGTGGCCCTGAAACCAACGATAACAGCTAGCCCTCATTAAGCATGGTATAAGCCTAGCACTAGGTGAAGAGCCTCATGCAGATTCACATCCTTGCAAACCATCCTACAAAGGATGTATCGCCCCATTTTACAGATGAGGAAACCAAGGCTGAGAAGTTACTGGAAAGGTCTTCCTGGAATGTGAGATCTCAAGCAAATCCAAAGTCAGCCATGAGATTCCTGTAACCTTGGGCAAGTTGAGTCAACTGCAAAAATAGGGAAACGGACAAAGGGCTCGTGAGGTTCCTCCCAGCTTGGAGTGCTTCTATAGGAGTCCAGGAATTTAAAACAATCACTTGTGCCCTACCTGGGTAGCTCAGAGCATCATCGTGATATACTGAGGTTGTGAGTTTGATCCCAGCTCGGGGCACATAAAGGAGTCAACCAGTGAATGCATAAATAAGTGGAGCGAATGGATATTTCTCCCTCTCTGTAACATCAATAAGTAAAAAAGAAAATTTAGTGAATTTTTTAAGAAGATTTTATTTATGTTTAGAGGGGAAGGGAAGGAGAGAGGGAGAGAAATATCAATGTATGGTTGCCTGTCCTGTGTCCCCTGCTGGGAACTGGCCTGCAACCCAGGCATGTGCCCTGATTGGGAATCGAACTGTGATTGGTTCGCAGGCCCATGCTCAATCCACTGAGCTACACCAGTCAAGGCAATAAGTAAAAAAAAATTTTAATAAAAAAATAAAACCACCACTTGTGTAGCACCCTGTAGCTGGACAAGTCTTGGTTTATGTGACATTCTAACTGTCTTGTGAGGCTGTTTCATTAAACTGGCCAGAAGTCTAAGGTTAAAGATACTCAACTGCTCTGGGTCAATGCTCAAATTCATTTCCCAGGTAGTTGCACTTTCCTCACCAACCCTTAAATCTTTCCATATGGAGAGGATGTGCTCGAATGAGGAAAACTAATAGCAACCAGTACTTTCAGCTGTTTGTGCAAATTTTCAGGTTGTTTCTGGAAAAGTCTAAATAAGGTTTATCTTTCTAGTGCTAGTTAAATCATCAAGTTCTACGAAGTTTATCTCCCAAGTACTGTATTTCCAGGCTCTCCATCCTATAAAGTCCCTCCCAAATATCACTGCACCTCCAGCCTGCTCTTGTGTCCTACAATACTTATATTGCATCCCCTCGTGGCCCACCTACATTTCACTCTGCACAGCATTCAAATTATATACTTCCAACTGCTTAACACACTGTCAGTGATTTCCCATCCCATTTATGCATAAGATCTGAATCTATCACGGGCCACAAACCCCTTTAAGGTGTGGCCTAACCTACCTTACTCACATAATTCACATTGGACTCCACTCTCTATCAGCTACACCATCCTGAGAGTGAGTTTAAGGGTGAATTGTATTATCTTGGAGAAATAATCTGTAAAAGACATTATCGGTGGGACTAGTAAAAAATAGTACCTTTTGCCCTGGCTGGTGTTGGCTCAGTGGATTGAGTGCCAGCCTGCAAACCAAAGGGTCACTCCCCATCAGGGCACATGCCTGGGTTGCAGGCCAGAACCCCAGTTGGGGATGTGCAAGAGGCAACTGACTGATGCTTCTCTCCTTCTCTTTCTCCCTCCCTTCTCCTCTCAAAGTAAATAAAATCTCTTAAAAAATAGTACCTTTTTAGAAAACATACTGGAAAATTGAGAATTACACATTGGAAAGCCACAATGAGCTATCACCTCACATCTGTCAGGATGGTTGTTATCAAAAAGTCAATAAGTAATAAATGTTGGCAAGGGTGTTGAGAAAAGGGAAGCCTCATACACTTTGGGTGAAATTGTAAACCATCCATCTAGTCTGTTTATCCAAATGTCAATTCACTTGTCATCAATTCATCATCTACTTCTCAATTTATTCATGAAAGAACATCCAGACAGATAATACTGTTGGTAGCATATGACATAAAATAAACAACTGGCTCATTTAGAAAAAAGAAAAACTGGAAACTTTCATACCTTATTCCTTCTGTCTCAATGACCAGTCTTCCCTTGGCAAATGCAGAACACCTCAGGGCCTTGTAACCCTTAAGTTGAAATGACAATCGGCTAAAGGCGGTGCTGAACAAAGACAATGTAAGACTTGGAAGGCATTCTAAGAAAAACTTGTCCTCTTTCAGGAAAGTATTATTGCTGACTGTGGCTATAGTTCCCCAGCTGCTTGTCGACCTCAGATAACTTGAACACACCAACTATCCTCATTAAATCTAAGAATCATAATAAAATCTTACTATCATATAATGAACACTAAATATGCCTTGAGAAATAAAGTAAGAATGAGATTCAGAAAGTGTTTCTGAAGGGGAATGATCAAGAAAAAGCAATGCCTTCACAAAATTTGAGTTCTTTGGCTAGAAGAGACCGGCCATACCCTATTACCAACACCCAAAACATGTATGATTCTTAGAATTGCCTGTTCCACGGTTAGAAGTGCTTCACACATAAAATGGTAGTGATTTTATTTTTATTGAGGTGAAATTTACATAACAAAAAATTAACCATTTTAAATTCAGCAGCACTTAATCCAATTACAATGTTGTACACCCAATGTAGTTCTAAAACATGTTCATCATTCTCTGTTTTAAACTTATTTCTTCATGTTCTTCAGTGACAATGAAGAACTACTTATTGCCCTGACAAGTGTGGTTCAGTTGGTTGGGCATCTTCTTGCAAAGTAAAACGTCACCTGTTTATTGCCTGGTCAGGGCACATGCCCAGGTTGCAGGTTTGGTTCCCAGCTGGGGCACGTAATTAGAGGCAGCCGATGTTTCTCTCTTACACTGATGTTTCTCTCACTCTCGTCCTCTCTCTCCAAAAATAAATAAAACCTTAAAACAAAATAAAACTACTTATCATCCTTCAGTTAATGGCCAACAGAGTTTTGAACAGACAACAAACCTGATAGATTCTAGGATCAAAGCTTTCCAGTGTCAGTCCTTTCTGATAGGGCCAAACTTGCAATAAATGGGACTTGAAGTAAAGCTCTGAATTACAGCATTTCACTCAGAGGGTTGGCCACACTATTCTGCCTAATTTTTAGGTCAAGTAAGTTTGAGAATCAGGTTTCTGTACTTCATGAGTTCTCACAATATTCAGTATGCTAAGGTACACTGTGAACTAGAGGGGGAAAAGGAATGAAGGAGTTCTCAAACTGAGTCCATTAGAAAAGCCCTAGGTCTTGCCCCCAGGATAGTGAATGCTCTGGGCCTCACCTGTAGAAAAAGCTGTAAAGGTCCCATTTCCTACCTCGGCATCCAGAGCAGACAGATTTTCCCCCTCTAACAACTCTTGGAGGAATAAGAGGACAAAGAATCTCCCTAGAAATATTTCCCATTTAATGCCTCCCCTCCCATAGCAGGTTTCTACTGAAGCTATTGTTTGGTTGATTTGTAAAGAATATGCTACCCGCTCTGGCTGGTGTAGCTCAGTGGACTGAGTGCCAGCCTGCGATCCAAAGTCATTTATTCCCAGTTGGGGCACATGCCTGGCTTGTGGGCCAGGTCCCCAGTAGGGGGCCCTCAAGAGGCAACCACGCATTGATGTTTCCCTCCCTCCCTTCCTCTCTAAAAATAAATAAATAAGAAATCTTAAAAAAAAATATATATATATATATATATCACCCACACAACTGTATGCATGTCATCTAACCAGGAAGATAGCCTGGTTAGGCAGTTCTGGGGAATAAGCCAAAACCCATGCTGAAAGATTGCTTGGCTGAAACAAGATGGGCAGTAGATAGTACACATGGAGACTGACCAACCATCCCACTAGAGAGAGCCATAAACAAGAGTGCTCCTCAGAGAGCCAGGGATCTGTCTACATGACTCTGCAATGCCTAGTCTTGTAATCCACTTACTATGAATTTAACACCCCATGCAGTTAAAGTAATTGATACAAGGTGGGAGTGGCATAAAAGTGAAAAGACTTGATTCATGCCTTATGTATCTGGAAACTCAACTCTCCTCCCTTTCTAACTTTATTTGGCTCTCTTAGCAAAAGCCAAAAGGCAGGGTATCCAAGTTGTGATCATAATGACATGACCTTCGTGGCAAAAACCGAACAAACAAAAATAGGTACCCACCAGGCACAGAAAGGTCAAGAACAAGAGGCCAAGTGATGAGGAAGATAAAACTAAGGCAGTGGAGAGCTGGATCAGAGTATGATTTCAGAGAACTGGGTCAGGCCAGGGCACATGGTGAGAAGCAGGGTGATTCTCATCTACTTTGTGCTGAATTACTTTTTTTGTTTGTTTGTTTTACAATTTCATTCATAGGTTGGAAAAAGAAAAAACAATGTAGAAATATTAGTGAAAAGAAACATAATTCAAACTAACTTGACATCTAGAGGTTAATATTTTAAAACTGGCTTTTGTTTTTCCATCCCTTAAAACCTCAGAAGAAGCTTGGTGTTTGAGTTAGGATGAGACAATAAAGATGTGGTATGGCAAGTTGAGGTAGCATGCACCCCCCCCATATGAAAAGTTTCCCTAAGAGGCCAACCATGATGGTGGAGTCCCATTTACACTACAGAGTGAGGTCACTGAGGGAGGGAGGCAAGAGCTTTGTGGTGGGGCCACAGGGCAGGGCAGATCCAGCATCTAAGCAACCCTGACTTGCAGCCTCAGGACTTTTCTAGGAACTATGACATAAACAAATGATAGGACAGATCTGAAGCTTGGGATCAAATAATCCTGGTCTGAGCTCCACCTCTACCATTTTCGGCCTTGTTACTTAATCGTACTGAACCTATTTTCCTCATCCACAAAACTGGAATAAAAATACAAGCTCACAGGTTTGTTGTGTTAATTACATGAAGTAACATATGTGAAATGTGCTTTGCATCAAGTGGTTTTCAAACTACTGACCAGAGCACACACACCGTTAAATTTTTTTTCTAATATACATTAGCCATTATATACACATATAAATAATATACAATTGAAACAAAGGTTTCATAAGAACAACATGGATCACTTGATATTTTCTATTCTATCCTCTTCATGTTTTTAAATGCTAGTTCACTACATCGTTTTCACAATTCCTAACGGGTAATTGCTAAAAAAAACACTGCTGAAAAGCACAGAACTGTCAGTTATTACGATTATTATGATTCTCAGGGGTACTCTGATTGCTAGGACAACAAAGGAAGGGGTCAAGGTTACTAGGTCAAGCCTTTGAGAGTCCTACTGCCCAGAGAATAGATGAGTCCGGTTAGGGTTGGTCTACCCAAACGCTGTAACTCTAACGTGAAAAGGAGTGGCCTACGCCCCCGTCACTCACGTTAGTAACTGGGCAAGCCCGCCCCAAGCCTAGAGGTATCGGAAGACCCACCTCCTTGCTAAGATTAAGCGAGGAATGCAAGGATTGGAAGCTCTGGTGGTGACGTAACTTCCCGCTGTCGGTGGCCATCTGCTGTGGCAGGTGCCGGGAGAGGCTCGGGAAACACTTAGCGGGGCTTCTCGACCTCCCTAGCTCTTAGTAGTGCGATGAGGTCCGTTAGTTATGTGCAGCGCGTAGCCCTAGAGTTCAGCGGAAGCTTGTTCCCGCACGCAATTTGCCTTGGAGACGTCGACAATGACACGGTTAGTGCATGCGCACTGCAAGAGACGCAGCCCAGGTTTGCGCAGGGCTTGGCTGGGGCGGGTCCAGGAAAGTGGAAGGAGGCAAAGGCGCGAGTGACGCTTGCGAAATAGAGCTTGCGTGGCAGGCCTAGGGAAGAACTTTACAGATGTTTCAGTGGGACACCTGACCGAGGTGTCCCTGTCTCGGTCATCCTGACCGAGCTTGCCTGGTGCACGGGTCTAGTACTCTTTTAGGAGCATGGGTAACTTTCTCTTTGTCTAATTAAGGAACTTATTCACCGAAAGAGCCTAGTAAACTTTGGTGGCCAGATTTCCAGGTTCACTGGTTCTGTTATTAGGCTTCCTCACTTTACCTTTCAAAGTTTCAAAATAGGCTTTAAAAGTACCTCTGCTGCCCTGGCGGGGTCGCTAAGTTGATTGGAGGGTCATCCCGTACATTAGAGGTTGTAGTTCGTCCTGGTCAAGGCAGGTACCTAGGTTGCTGGTTGGATCCTTGGTCCGGGCCTATACGGTAGGCAATCGATCACATCGTTGTTTCTCACTCTCACTCTCCCTCTCTCAAATTAATAAACATATCCTATGGTGAGGATTAACTGCCCCCCCCTCCAAAAAAAAAGCCCCTCTTCTGCTCTTACATTTGGCCCTTGGTGACCCTGGAATACATTGCTCTATCTGCCTCACCTTCCAACTGGTAGAATATGCTCCTCCCTGAGGCAACAGATGTTCTCACCAACCCAATCTTAATGTCTTACTGTGGTACCTGCTCCATACTACCTGCAGATGTCTGGAAACTTTCAAGTGCTACACCTTGATTAAGTGACAAAAATAATTTTCATCTACCATAGTCATTCCTTATTTGAATGAATTAATACAGGTAAAGCAGGAAGCATCATACCTGGCACGCTGTTACAGCTCAGTCAGTGTTAGCCTGTTGTTAGTATTTGATTCTATTTTAATGCAAATACTTATTAAACTGTCCATTATGTGTCAAGGACTCTGCTACATTCAAAAATGAGCAAGACAGCCCCAGCCCTCAGGTAGCTCATAACCAGGTGGAATGATAGTAAGGAGGTGCTTTGATTAAAATATGTAAAATAGTCTAGAGTGGAGCATCAAAGGGAACAGGGGCTACTGATAATGTGAAACAATCTTTTCCCCCAGACTTTATCTTTTCATTCCTTATCTCTATTTAATATTTTTAATACACAACACCTTATTACCTTTCTCTCCTATCCTCTGTCCCATCTTCCTAGTCTGCCTCCCTGCTGTTCTGTGCTATCTTTTCCCTGAAAAAAAAAGGGGGGGACTAAAACATCCTTCCCTTTTTTCCAGACTTCTTTGTGCTGTGATGGAGAGGTATTTAGTGAGGCTGCCTTTGGCTCTACCCTCTCTGGGGAGGAAAATGTTATTTTCATCAGTTTGTATTATGTTTTCTGGGCTTTCATATTTCTTCATATGCCAAGCAGTACAATTTTTATGAGAAAATCAAGGGAGGCATTTTTAAATAGTAAATTGACAGAATGACTTTAGATGTGCATCATTTTCCTTTTGATCTGTTTGTTTTCTTTTTTACAAGAAAAAAATTCATGCATTTTTTTATAGCTTCATAGCACCAGCTTTTTTGGAAATTGTACTTTTCTAAGTGAATTACACTGTTATACACTCAATTATGCAATATTAGGAATATTTATATTTTTTCCCATTAGGGTAGGAATTTTTTATCTTTTTTTGTTGTTGCTGCTGTTTTGTTTTGTTTTGTTTTTACTGCTATATTCCCAACACAGAATAGTGCCTGGCACATAGTAGGCACTCAGTAAATGAGTAAATGTTGAATAAATTCGGATTGTTATGAAAAGCAAATGTGATTATGTATCTCAAAGCAATTTGAAGGGCTCTGCCTGTTATTAATAAATATAATGGAAAGAAGGACAAGTAGTTGAGATGGTTGGCTAGTAGTTAAGTATGGTACACTCAGCCTGCATAAGTATGCATAGAAATTTTGTTATTGGTCCCCCAGGCAAGCATTTGGAGATTTGGGGCAAGAAAAAGACTTATATTGAAAACAAACAATAAAAAAAAATAGGACTTCCAGCCAAGATGGAGGCATAGGTAGATACACTTTGCCTCCTCACACAACCAACAGAAGGACAACAACAAATTCAAAAACAAAAAATAACCAGAACTGCCAGAAAATCGAACTGTGAGGAAGTCCAACAACCAAGGAGTTAAAGATCAAACACTCATCCAGACTGGTAGGAGGGGCAGAGATGAGCAACCAGGGCAGAGAATATGCACAGCAGGGTGGCAGCTGGAGGACCGGTTGGGCAAGACAGCAGCTGGTGGTCCCACATTTGTATGTGGATAAACTGGAAGGAACAACCAGGGAGTAAGACAGACTGCATAACCCAGGGTTCCCACATGGGGAAATAAAGCCGCAAAACCTCTGGTTATAAAAATCTGTGGGGTTGTGGCAGTGGGAGAGACTCTCAGCCTCACAGGAGAGTTCATTGGAGAGACCCATGGAGTCCTAAAATGTACACAAACCCACCCACCCAGGAATCAGCACCAGAAGGGCACAATTTATTTGTGGGTAGTGGGGGAAGTGACTGAAAGCCTTTGAAGAACTGAACAAGCGGCATTGTTCCCTCTCTGACCCTTCCTCCACATACAGTGCCACAACGCAGGTTGCCCCACCCTGGGGAATACCTAAGGCTCCACCCCTTACTATGTAACAGGTGCACTGATACAAAGAAATAGGGCCCAAATGAAAGAACAGATCAAAACTCCAAAAATAGAACTATGTGTTGAAGAAATAGCCAACATATCAGATGCATAGTTCAAAACACCGGTAATCAGGATGCTCACAGGTTGAGTATGGTCCCAAAATAGAGGAAAAAGTGAAGGCTATGCAAAGTGAAATAAAGGAAAATGTACAGGGAACCAACAGTGAAGGGAAGAAAACCGGAACTCAAATCAACGATTTGGACCAGAAAGAAGAGATAAACATTCACCCAGAACAGAATGAAGAAACAAGAATTCAAAAAAAAAAAAAAAAGAGGAAAGACTTAGGGACACTTTAAGCATTCCAACATCTGAATCATGGGGCCAGAAGAAAAGGAAGAGCAAGAAATGTAAAATGTAATTGAAAAAGAAATTTGTGCTTGTTTTGCTGTCACACTTGAAATTGCAAAAGTGATGGACACAGTGTGTGATAGGTAGAAAAGGCATTGAATTTGTGGGTAGGAGACCTGAGCAGAAAATACATGTCAGTTGATGGCAACATGTCATACCAGAAAGCATTGAGACTATGTGAAGACTTTAACAAGAGACCCCCTGAAATGGGTGACCACATTTACATAACTTTTATGATAGTACTGTATACTGTTATAATTATTCTATTTTAGTAGTAGTTGTTGTTAATCTCTTACTATGCCTTATAAATTAAACTCTACCATAGTGTGTATATATAGGAAAAAAACATTATGTTCAGGGGTGGGCAAAAGTAAGTTTACAGTTGTTCATATGGAAAAAGACATGCAGGTTATGATTATTATTACAGCTTTATTAACTCAAAAGAATGTCACAATGGCAGAATAAACCTACTTTTGCCCACCCCTGTATGAGGTTCAGTATACTCTTCAGTTTCAAGCATCCACTGGTATCTTGGAATGTATCCCCACGGATAAGGGGGGATGACGGTGGCCGCCAGAGAGCAGATAGGCTGTCCTGGGAATGTCCTCCTCCAGTGCCATTGCCTCTCTCTCTGCCTGGCTCACTGCACCTTCCACACTGTTTTGTGATTTATTCCTGTGTCTATGCCCTTATTAAATTGTGAGATCCTTCTCAGCAGGGAGTCTGTGACATTTTATCTTTGTATCCCTCACTGGTTGCCCGGCTTTACCTGAAAACTCAAGGGCTGACTGCACATTCTCTTTCATTCTGATTTTTCTTTGTGTCTTAAAACAATCTTTTTTGGTGTTTGTCTATTAAGTAACCATTTTATCGAGGACTACTATAGACTCATCTGTTGAATGAATGTATAAGAAAAAGAATGGATTGTATGAAAGATGCTAAGATCCCTAGCTTTGCAGGTGTTTTAACTAGAGGCTGAAAACCACCTGATATTAGTACTCACTGTATGCTAATCACTTCTAAATACTTTCTTCTGTTAGCTCAATTCTTGCAACAACCTTATGAGGTAGCTATTCTTATGATTCTCATTTTTTAAGAAGAATTTTAAAGATAATATTTATTTACTTTTAGAGAGATGGGAAGGGAGGAGAGAGAGAGGGAGAGAATCATCAGTGTGAGAGAAAAACAATCCATTGGTTGCCTCTTGCATGTTCCCTGACCGGGGACCAAACCCACAACCCAGGCATCCACCCTGCCAGGAAAACCAATGGGTGACCCTTCACCTTGCAGGACGAGGCCCACCCAACTAAGCCACACTGATCAGGGCATGATCCTCATTTTACAATTGAAATATAGGCATAGAGAACTGGAATCCAATGCAGGCAGCTGCCCTCTGAACCTCTGTGCCATGCAGCTTCTCTCCTATGCACCTGCCAAAGTTCTCTGAGGATGGAATAGAAATGTCCATTTCTGTAATAGAAACATCAGGTGTAGAGGGTTTAATGTAAATAAATTTGCTTTATGCTTCTATGATCTAATATTCCCATAAGTAATTCCAATAACTATTAAAAAATAGTTAATGTAAGATTCAAATCAAGTAAATCATTATTGATAAATTCCAATTCATTGTTCATTTTTCATTTCTGTTTTCCTTTTGTCTTTGTTGCCTTTAAAATTAAATCTTCTGGGATTCTAATATTCACCCTAGTTTGAGGAAAGGAAGGGAGTGTTGGATGTCCCCACAGCGGGAAATCCTGAAGCTGTTAGTAGAAATAGGGTTTGTAGCAACCTTATCATCATTGTTACCACCTGGGAAGTGGAGCATTCAGATACCAATAGTTGTGAAGAGGCTTCATGCAGGGAGCCTGCCATCTGAGAGCTTAGCCACCACTTAGGGGCACCAGAGGCCCAGAACTCTATGATGCTGACACCCAGCAGCCCCTTCCTGCTGTGCCCCACTCTGGCACCTCCATCCCTCTCTATTCATTCCTAGGACACCAAGATCAAATGTTCTTGCTAAAGGAGGGAGGGCCCCCAGAACTGCCTTTTTTCCCCCCTGGCCCTAATAGAATATGAGGTTTGGAGTTAAATTCCCCAAAAGTTGAATATTTTGGGTTGTTTCCAAAATACAAGGTGGGGCAAAAGAAAGTTTATAGTTGTTAGTATGCAGAACAGAGAGTTTATTCCTATATTATTTATTAATTATTGTCTTACTTTCCATAGGAACAACTGTAAACCTACTTTTTGCCCCTCCCTGTATGTCCTATTTATAATGGACGAATCAGAGCCAAAGTCAAGCATGGGGGCCATTGAGCTGTTCAAATGTCAAACTTCTCCAGGATGGAGTCCGTGTTCATCCATTCCTCTGGCCTTCCCTGTCCCTGACACACACATGCACACGCACATATACACCACCACCCCTTCCCCATGGAAATAAAGAAACCTGGAATACCATGGCTGTGTTGGTCACAAAAGATTTTTAATACATTTGATGAAGATTCAAGTAGATGTCCTGTGATTTCCCCAGGATGGGCGCAGTAGAGAAGAGTTTGAGGTGGGTCAGCAGGACCTATGCTAATATTCCTCTTTCTCCATCTGAAGTTGAATGAACTGGTGGTGGGAGACACCAGTGGGAAGCTGTCTGTGTATAAGAATGATGACAGCCGGCCATGGCTCACCTGTTCCTGCCAGGGAATGGTCAGTATTCAACTACCTGGGTCTGAAGGCGGGGGAAGGGATTTTTTTTCTGTTCAGGAACTGTCAAGGCTGAGACCCACACAGGAGCTCACTAGTGTGTCCTCACTCAACGGCTACTCAGCTTAGCCACTGGTTTGGGGGTCACTTGATTCAGTGAGGGAAGCTCCCAGGCAGCACTTGCATGTACACACACACACACACACACACACACACGAGACTCCCTAAATACTTTAGGAAAACTGCTTAGGTTGTCTGGTCTCATAGAGTATAATAGATAATGAGGGTAGTATTTGAATAAGTCTAGACATGATAGTCTTGCTAAATTGGAGTTTTGTTTTGTAGAGATTTTGTTTTGAGCCCAAATGGCCTTTACTTCAGGTCTTCATATTACTGTGTGTGTAAACTGAACCAAACCTATAGCACAGTAGCTCGGTTAATGCAGACCATCACACAGGTCCTATGGCACCAGTTTCTAGAACATGCTAGTAATGAGAAAACCTGCTCCTTCCTGCTTCATGGAGATGAGGAAGTAGTAGTCTCCCCCTGGGTCACCCTGAGCCTCCCTTTCTTCTTTTGCAGCTGACTTGTGTTGGAGTTGGAGATATATGTAATAAAGGAAAGGTAAGAACTTCCAGGGGTCTTGGGACTTGAGTGTAACTCCAAGGCCTTAGCTGGATGGATCTCTGTCTCAAGGTGGAAACCAGTTGAGAGTTAATGGCCTTAGCCCTACCTTCTGTGTTCTAATGATCAGTGTGTGCTCAAACTTCCCTCCCTAGTCCACCTCTCCCCTATCTCTATCTCTTGCAGAACCTGGTAGTGGCCGTGAGTGCTGAGGGCTGGTTTCACTTGTGTGACCTGACTCCTGCCAGGACCCTGGATGCTTCTTGGCACCATGAGACCCTAATGAGAGAGGAGCAGCGTCCAGTCTTTAAGCAGCACATCCCTGCCAACACCAAGGTCATGCTGATCAGCGACATCGGTGGGCATGGCTATCTTTGCAGGCAGTTGGGGCAATAAGAGTCAGTGGATAACAGAGCAGATCTCAAGGGATTCAGTGGGGGTGGGGGGTCAGTATTCATTTGTGCAATCGCTATGGAGAAAGTAAATCACAGAAAGGACCCAGAGAGTGTAGAGGTAGAGGTAGCAATTCTACATGGAGTGTCAGGGAAGTTCTTGCTGAGAAGGTGACATTTGATCAAAAATTGAAGATGGTGAGGAAGTGAGCTATATAGATACTGTGCTGATATTTTGGCCAGAAGCTGTCTCAAAGTTGGTGGTGTGTGTATTGGATGCATTTGGACACCCTGAGGTGCATATCTGAGGGAAGCAGTGGCAGGGCCTGTGGAGCAGGTGGGTAGGTAGAGCCAAGGGACAGGGAGGTGCTGTCAGTACAGGAAGGGCAGAAGGCGCGCCGGACTCAGAGCAGGGGAGATGGCTCCACAACAGGTTGGGCTTGAAGTCAAAATCCCAACAGTGATGTTAATAGAGGAGTAGGGATGGGATGCTTGTAGGGTTCAAGCTGACGAATGCAGCTTTGGCTCCAAGCTTGTCTTATTTTCTGGACCACAGATGGAGATGGGTGCTGTGAGCTGGTGGTAGGGTACACAGACCGTGTGGTACGAGCCTTCCGCTGGGAAGATCTGGGCGAGGGCACTGAACATCTGACAGGGCAGCTGGTGTCACTCCAGAAATGGACACTGGAAGGTCAGGTGAGAAGTTGAGTAGAGGGACCCCAGAGCTCAGAGAGCAAGGAGGAAGGCATCCTGAAGGGGGGTTGTGGGAGAACAGTTGTGGGCCATGATACAGGGTGGGAAGAAGGGAAAATCATCTTGCTGAGAGAGATCCAAAGATCATTTCAAATCAGAGTCTTAGGGCAAGTTGCTAGTCATGGCAAATAGGAGGCAACTGAGAGCTAGGAATTGGGATTGAGGGTGGGCATGATGTCCGTGTCAGGATCTGGATCTCGCAGAGGACAGCACGGAGGAAAGCAGATGGCATAGTTGGAGAGGATGGCCCTGGGCAGGAGCCCTGTGAACTCTGGAATTCCTACTGCTGCTGCCCTTGAAGCCTGGGGGGCTGCCTCCAGGGCCCCTACTCTGATTCTCTTCCCTGTTTTTTGCAGAGTCCCACTTCCTCTCTCTCCAGCCCCATTTAAGCCTTTGTTCCCTGGTGCAGGTAGACAGTCTCTCGGTGACTCCAGGATCACTGGGTGTTCCTGAGCTGATGGTATCGCAGCCAGGCTGTGCTTATGCAGTTCTACTGTGTACATGGAACAAGGACACTGGGCACTCTGCTACCTCTCAGGGGACCACAGAAAGCAATAGGTAAGGGATGCAGGCCTGTGGATGGTGTGGGGTAGGTACATGGGAGCAAGATGGGGTCTTGGATATACATGGCAGTGGATGGGTCTGCAGTTGACAGAGCTGCTTCAGCTAGCTTCAGCACAAGCACCTCTGCCCTAGTAAGGGAAGACCTATGTTTTGGGAGCCAGGGAGTCCTGGATCTAATGTTGTAGCATCTGGAAGAGGTTATAAGATTCCAGCCTGGTAGCTCTGTCCCTCTCTTTCCAACTTGCCACACAAGGGACAGCTATAGGTTTGTAGCTGATTCACATCTCGGCAGCTCTTATGGAGATGGGGCCACAAATGTGCCAGAGAACTAAGCTCACTTGGTCTCCCACTTAGTCCCCCAGTCTCCTGCCCACAGGGAGACCCTGGCTGCCCGAGATGTCGTGCTGCACCAGATGTCCGGCCGCATCCACAACAAGAATGTGTCTACTCACCTCATTGGCAACATCAAACGAGGTGAGGGGGTTACAGGATGAGGCAGGTTGCTGAGGGCAAACATTACTTTTGGAAGAGATGTGGGACCTTCTCTCATTTCTAGTCCTGTCCCTCTTTCCCTCCCTGCCCTTGGCCATTCCTCACCCTGTATGCTCTGATCTTGCCTTGACCTTCACATTTTCTTCTTCTGGTCCTTCTGTCCCACCTACAGGCCACATCCCCGAGAGTGGTGGCTCTGGCCTCTTTGCGCTCTGCACCTTGGATGGTGAGTTCCCTGGGTCAGCTACAGGGCCCTGCTGCAGTGGGAGGTTGTGTGCTGGAGGGGTCTGCTTGGGAGTCTTGTTCTCCCCATCCCAACCTGCCTCTCCCCCTGCAGGGACACTGAAGCTTATGGAGGAAGCAGACAAGCTGTTGTGGTCCGTGCAGGTGGATCACCAGCTTTTCGCCCTAGAGAAACTGGATGTCACGGTGGGTAGAAAACCTGGCGGAGAACAACATTCTCACCTTCTTTACATGGAGGTACAAGGTTTCAGTGAGGCCATTATGACTTCATAGTTAAACTCTGAACCTTTATCTTTTTTTAATATATATTTTATTGATTATGCCATTACAGTTGTTCTATTCCCCCCCTTCATTCCCCTCCACCCCGTACGCCCCCTCCCCCATTACTCCCCCCTTTAGTTTATGACCACGTGTCTCAAGTTCTTTAGATTCTATATTTCCCATACTATTCTTGCCCTCCCCCCTATCTATTTTCTACCTACTGTCTATGCTACTTATTTTCTGTACCTTCTCCCCACTTCTCCTTCTCCCATTCTCCTGTTGCTAACCCTCCATGTGATCTCCATTTCTATGGTTCGCTCCTGATCTAGCTGTCCTCTTAGTTTGCTTTTGTTTTAGGTGTGGTTCTTAATAACTGTGAGTTTGCTGTCCTTTCACTGTTCATATTTTTTATCTTCTTTTTCTTAGGTAAGTCCCTTTAACATTTCATATAATAAGGGCTTGGTGATGATGAACTCCTTCAATTTGATCTTATCTGAGAAGCACTTTATCTGTCCTTCCATTCTAAATGAAAGTTTTGCTGGATAGAGCAATCTTGGTTGTAGGTCTTTGGATTTCATAACTTGGAATACTTCTTTCCAGCCCCTTCTTGCCTGTAAGGTCTCTTTGGAGAACTCAGCTGACAGTCTGATGGGAACTCCTTTGTAGGTGACTGTCCCTTATCTCTTGCTGCTTCTAGAATTCTCTCCTTCATTTTAATCTTGGCTAATGTAATTATGATGTGCCTTGGTGTGTTCCTTCTTGGGTCCAACTTCTTTGGGACTCTCTGAGCTTCCTGGATTTCCTGGAAGTCTATTTCCTTTGCCAGATTGGGAAAATTCTCCTTTATTATTTGTTCAAATAAGTTTTCCACTTGTGGCTCTTCCTCTTCCCCTTCTGGTACTTCTATAATGCGGATGTTGGAACGTTTAAAGATGTCCTGGAGGTTCCTAGGCCTCTCCTCATTTTTTTTGAATTCTTGTTACTACATTCTTTTCTGTTTGGTCATTTTTTTCCTCTTTATGGTCTAGTCCTTTGATCTGAGTCCCAGTTTCCTTTCCATTACTAGTTGTTTCCTGTACATTTCCCTTTATTTCAATTAGTTTAGCCTTCATATGCTTCTCTAATTTGTGACTAAAATCAACCAGTTCTGTGAGCATTCTGATCACCAGTGTTTTGAACTGTGCATCTGAAAGTTTTGCTATTTCTTGGTCGTTTACAGTTATGGGCTCTGGGGCTTTGAGTTCTTCTTGAGCCATAATGTTTTGATCTGTTTGCCCTATTAGTATGAGGAGCAGAGCCATAGGTGTTCACCAGGGTGGGGCCACCCAGGTTGCTGGGTTGTGAGGCTGTATGTGGGGCCAGGGTCAGAGAGGGACAACAGTGGTCCCCTCTGCTGCTTCCCACCGCTGGGGCCTGGGAGGTCCATCTCACTGCTTGCTCCTTTACTGGTTTATCTGTGCTGAATGTGTGACCGTGGTCAGCCAGCCGCCTTGTGCCCTCAGTGGGTCTGCCCACTGCTACTCCACACCTGGGATCCGCCCACAGCTGCCTGCAAGCCTCGGTCGCAAGCCCGGGTTGGTCTGTGGATCTTTCCTGCCCAACCCTGCTCTGCTGCTGGCTCTGCCCCTCTTACTGGTTTGGCTGAAGGGTTCGTTGTTGTCAGACTTCTGTGAAGTTCAATTTTCTGTGGTTTGGCTGCGTTTTTGTTGCTAAAACTTTGTTGTTTTTAAACTTGGTTGTGCGAGAAGGCACAGTGTTTTCACCTACACCTACATCTTCTGAACCTTTATCTTAAGGCCCTGTTTAGCCAGGTCTAACTCCCTTTGAAATGAGTTGTTCCCATTTTACAGTGCTCAGCACTATTGTCTGTGCTCTGGGGGACCTCACACTTCAGCACCATTCAGCAGCAGAAAAAGCTCCAAAGAGAACCAAGTAATTACTAGGGTCCAGAAGTTTGTCCTCAGTCCCAACTCCAGATGCATATGAAGTTTTTTTCTTGTCCCATGTGAGTCTGTCTTTACTGAGGCTGTGGCCCCTGAGTCTGCTGCTGAATGAGGCAGATGGGGGCTGCCTCTGTGCTGCTATCACACATGCTCGAAAACATAGGAGAGGAGGCACAAGGCTGTGAGGTCAGGTAGGCCAGGCCTGGGCTGGAAGCCCGATTCTACCATCTCCCAGCTGAGTGACCTTGGGTGCATGATTTTATTTCTACAAGCTGAAGTTCCCTTAGTATCAAATTGGGAATAATACTGACTACTTCACAGGGTTGTTGTGAGTACTATGTGAGGTGGCTCATTGGACAGCAGCCCCTTTGGTGCCTGGCACATGGGAGAAGTTCAGTAAGAGACATATGGTTGTTTTCTTTCTCAGCCAGCTATTGGTCCCAGAGCAAAGTCTACAGCTTCTTTGTATTTAATCCAGCTCCATGGCTAGATCCCTTTTTAAAATGGTTCCTGGACACCCTTGCAATCTTGTCTCTGACCTTTTTCAGGGCAATGGGCATGAGGAGGTTGTTGCCTGTGCCTGGGATGGACAGACATACATCATCGATCACAACCGCACAGTTGTCCGCTTCCAAGTGGATGAGAATGTCCGAGCCTTCTGTGCAGGTGGGCCCCTGCCCCTGGCCCCCACTGACCACACTCATCTGCCTCCTACTATTATTCTCAGCATGTCCCCTTGTGGAAGTCTGCACAGTTGTGTTCTTCAGCTTTTTCATTAGAGTGTGATGAGTGGATACTAAATTGCCATCTTTACAGTTTTAAATAAGGAAAGGTAAAAGATAGTGAGATCTCCACTTCTGAATATTTCAAAGAATGGAATGAGATCTTATCATCTACCTGTGTGAAGACATCAGAAAGCTCTTTCCCATCTGAGTATATTGGAACTCTGTGAAGAACATTCTCCTAGAGCAGTGATTTTCAGCCTTTTTCATCTCATGGCACACATAAGCTAATTACTAAAATTCTGTAGCACACCAAAACATAGATCTTTACCGATCTGATAAAAATAGGTATAATTTTGATTTATTCACACTGGAAGGCTGTTGTTATGTTGGGTAAGTCATTTTTTTTTTTTTAATTTGACAGTCTTAAGGGAAAAGAGATCAGCGCCCCTGACTAAATAGACAGGAATTGCATGTTTTAAAAATTCTTGTAGCACGCTAGTGTGCTGGCCTCAGCACACTGATTGAAAACTGCTGTCCTAGAGCGTTCCCATTAGTTCCAAATCAGGACCTTGGAAGCCAGCACTCACCCTTTGGGGTGGCATGGAGAGATCTGTGGTCACTGAAATGAAGAGAATTGAACAGTGTTCTAGCCCACGCAGTCCAGGGACCTGAGAGGTAGGTCAGGTCAAGCAAACCCTGTGCCTTTGCAGAGGGGCTGCCCTCAGAGAAGCTTCAGTTTGTGATCTACCCCTTGGGCTAGCAAGACTAGTCGTTACTCCAGGGCCATCACTATGATGACAAAATCAGGCATCACATCTTTGGGTGCTCTTCTGCCTGAGTTTTGTTTCTATAGTCTTTCTATATCTGGAATGGGCAAAGTTGTTTATTGTTTTACCGAGTTTCCAACAGAGTAGACCTAGAAAGAGAGCCATTAGTTTTTTGCTTGACATCTGTGGGAGGGCCAGAACCACTGACTCTAGAGCCCCTATCTCATTCTCACCTCCCACCACCGGACGAAACTTCTTGACCTTTGTCTCACCACCCACATCTCACAGGCCTATATGCCTGCAAAGAGGGCCGCAACAGCCCCTGCCTCGTGTATGTCACCTTCAACCAGAAGATCTATGTGTACTGGGAGGTGCAACTCGAGCGGATGGAGTCTACCAATCTGCTGAAGTTGCTGGAGGCCGAGCCAGAGTACCAGAGCCTGCTGCAGGAGCTGGGCACAGGTGAGGCCCAGCAAGCTGCAGCGCTGGACAATCAGGGGCCCAGGAAAGCCACAGCCTCTTACCAGCCCCTTTCTTGCCCTCAGATCCTGATGACCTCCCAGCAGTCCGCACTCTGGTTCACCGAACCCTCTACCATCCTGACCAGCCACCACAATGTGCTCCTGCGAGCCTCCAGGATACCACCTAGTTGGACTTTCCCTCTTAGCTGAGGAAGGATCCTCCTGAACCTCCCTACCCCCAAGGTATCCATAGTATTGGCAGGACAGGGAATACACATTACAGAGGTACATGGACAGAGGCAGCAACCCCAGGGTGACTGTGAACTATAGATCTCATGTCTTCTTGGTGAAAGAAGAGACTACTTGACCCTCTGCCTGTTTGCTTGTGTACCTTACCCATCACATCAGCGGGTCTGTAGGACCCTGGCCTTATTCCACACCACCTGGGACTGCTTCCTCCCCAGAGCTAACCCACTCTTATATGGAAAAGAGACTTGCTTGTGGCCCCAACATTTGGAAGGAACTAGGCTTTGGCGCCAGTGGAGCAGTGAGGTAGGGGCTCTCACCAACCCCAAGCACCATTTTCCACATCACAATTCCAGATCATCGACAGGAGTGATTATTACAGGAATGGGAGATTGTTTGGGGTTTTCCCGAGGGGCCTTTCAAGACAATTGACAGTCTTGTTTTTCTGTGTCCCCAGCAATCCTGAGATGATTTTGCTCTATTTTCTGAAAAAACTGGGCCAGCACTCTCATTTTGCCATATTCTTCAATATGTGCAGCTTCATAAGCCTTGCTCCTTTTCTCACCCACTCATTTCCCCCAAATGCCTATTCTCTCAGACAATAGACATTTAAAATCTAGTGCAGGTTTATGATCCAGACCATAATCAGAATTATATTTTGTCCATTTATATTTTTTCTGTTCTTAATTCTGTGTGCTTTAAATCAGTGTCTTTCAAATTGTAGGTTGCAATCAGCATTTTTTGAATAAATGAAATACAATACAATAGAATTGAACATATATAGCTCTCAATATAGGGAAATGTTTCGCTTTAATTGTATGTGTTTACTGAGTATAATATAAAATATATTTCATATTTCCTGCTTTGAATTATGTTCAAAAGAGTTTGAAAGCCATTGTTCTCAATTATATTGACTCTGGCCTAATGGATCAACCTGGGGAAGGGTCCACATCCACATTTGCTTTGTGAAGGGAATAGGGTAGAGTTATCAGCCTCTCGTGGGCATGAGGGAAGACCAAAGAAGCACATTACCGTGGAGAAACATGTTTATTCAAGTGGGTGAGCAGCTGAGCTGAGAGTCTACCATAGGGCCTGGGGGTCTATGGTCTGCACCTACAGAAGCAGCAGGAGGCAGAAGGGAAAGGAACAGGGTGAGATCAAGAAGGCAGAGGTCATGGAGCAAGGCAGCGAAGGACCAGGGCACTATCTATGACACATGTGACAGTGAGTTCCTCTCCTTTCCTTGTGAGGGCAGGAGACTTGACGGAGAAAGGTAAGGCCAGGTGTCACAGAGCAGCTTCTTACATCCTGGTTCTTCTCTAACCTATCCCATGCTCAAGATTTTGTTTCCAGCCTGAGGTCCTAGTTCCCTAGTTCAGGTTAGTTACACCACTTTCTTCCTCAAGCCCACATCCATGATTCAAGAGGCTCAAACCAGCCAGGAAGACACTTGGGTCTGGCTTCTTACAGTTTGAGTTCCTCTCTTCACAGTAATGTCAGAAGAGCCTCCTTGTCTCTTTGCTATGGCTTAGACCTGTAGGGGATAGAAAGCCATTGATTCCAAAACAAGACAAGCTCCACCTATGGAAGCCAGAGATGAGGGGCAGAAGGAAGATCTAATGGGGTGGATAGTTCTAGAAATAAGGAATATGGGTTAGGTAAAGTCTGAGTACTGACAAGTCTACTATCCCAACTACCTTTGGGGCCAGCTCTTTATAGGGCTCTTGTACACATACCCCAAAGTTCAGGGGCCCAGTGGATGAATATCTGGGGCAGATATTAGAGGTATATCCAAGGGCTCGCACTGGGTAATCAAGCAGTAACTGACTTCAGACATTTGCAAGCTCAGAAAAGGTAACTAACAGAGCTCCTAGTCCTGTGAGCTGGCATTCCTCTACCAAACCACACTCCTACTGTATTGAATTACTGTGTTCAGTGTTTCTTACCCCACTGAACTGTGAGCACATGTGTGCAGAATCAGAAAGGTAGGCACCAGCCAGACCAGGGAACCGGTTGGTGAGGTGCAGTGTCTAGTTGTGAAAGATAGCCCAGAGGTGGAGTGAGAGATGTGGGAGTGAAGGCAGTGGAGAAGGTTTGGCGGGAGCTGGGGCACAGGTGGAGGACAACAGTAGGCTACAATCCTTGACTTGGCCGGCTTCTACCATGCCAGGGGTCCCACCTGGAACCCCATTTTGCTTGTGTCATTTTCTGCAGTCCTGATTTGGCTTTGCTCTTCTTGGAAGGGCAATGAGAGAAAACAGGGAAAGCAGAGCCCTGAGCTCCTGGGCCGGCTCCGGGAAAACTCCTGGGGGATAGGGAAGTTGCCAAAAAGCAGGGAGGAATGTGGCCAACTCAGGGCAATGGAACAGCAGGGTCAGGGTGGTGACAAAGGCACAAAGTAGTCCCCAGCTACCTGGCTGTAGTAATGTCCTCATTCCTCACATGGTTGTTCCCTTAAGTTACAGTGCTTCCTTTTGGGGACTGACTGGGACAGCAGTCACTGGCGAGGCTCTTGGTACAAAGGCAGGAAGGGCAGTTCTGGGAAGGGGGCTTGCAGCCGCAGCACTCCGTGCTCCAGGTCGATACAGCACTGTGGGGTGTGGACAGGAAATGTGAGCTTGCACCAGCAGGTAACCTCCCTCCCAGCCCCCTCTTTTTGTTTCTCCTCCCACTTCCCACAGCTTTCCCCTGCTCCTTGCTTCCCCCTGTGTCCATTCTCCTGGGCCCCTGTCAGTGAGGGATCCCGTTCTCCACATTTTTCACTTGTGGGCAGGCAGATCAGGAGCCTCTAAAGAAGCAAAGGTGCAGTTGCATCTTTATCATCAAAACCTGACCCACACCTCTCTCCTTTCTTTCCCAGCCCTTTGTCAGGCCCCAAAGTGCTAGCATCCTCCTTACCTTGAGAGAAAGCAGAGTCTGCAGTCCAAGAGATAATTCAGGACTCTCAACATCTGCAGGAGCCATTTGAAAACAGAAGGTTCTGGAGAATACCTGGAGGACACTGCTGCCCTCCTGTCAGGACATACCTCTTCTTTGCCTTTCCCCCCATCCCAGGTCTGAGAATTTTGGCACAGATATTGGGGATAGTCAGGGGACAACTTGTCTGGTGCTGGCAGGGCTGAAGGCTGCCTTTGCCTCACCCAGGAGAGAAAGGAGAGATGAAAAGTGGGGCTGTTGATGAAGGGAGGACTTACCCACTACCTGGGCTGAGCATGCCACAGTCTGCTGACCTAGCTGTAGCTCCAGCTGTTCCACTTGGGTTGGGGGTTCAGGGGCCAGGTCCCCCCCTGAGGCTTTTAGGACCTTCTTCCCTAACCTGTATGGTTGGTAAGCAAGGTTATGGCCACTACAATCCTACGCCCATCCCTTTTGTCAGCTAATGTCCCTCCCTCCCCACCACAATTTGGGTTCTCATAAAATCCCTGGCTCCACACAGGGTCTAAATCCTTGTTTTCTCTGCCAGAGCCCCATCAACACTTTGGTAAATAACATCTTTATTAGATACAGTTCATATACCATGAGTCACTCTTTTAAAATGTACAATCAAGTGGATTTTAGTATGTTCAGAGTATACTCACTACTACCTAATTTCAGAATATTATCACTCCCACTTCCACCAAGATGGAGGCATAGGTGGAGTTGCTGTGCTTTCTCACACAACCAAGTTTAGAGACAACAAAATATTAGCAACAGAAAACACAGGTAGAACACAGAAAATTGAACTTTTCAGAAGTTTGATAACAATGAATTCTTCAGCCTGACCCCGTCACAACCCAGGGACCTGAGCAGCCCTACTCTGGTGAACACCTAAGACTCGGCTCCTCATACTTGACGGGTGCGAACAGACCAAAAATGGCTCAAGAAGATCTCAAAGCCCCAGAGCCCATAACTCTAAGCGACCGAGAAATAGCAAAACTTTCAGATGCACAGTTCAAAACACTGATGATCAGGATGCTCACAGAACTGGCTGATTTTGGTCACAAATTAGAGGAACATATGAAGGCTAAACTAATTGAAATGAAGGGAATTGCACAGGAAACAAATAGTGATGAAAAGGAAACGGGGACTCAAATCAAGGGAGTGAACCAGAAGGAAGGGAAAAATGACCAAACAGGAAAATATGAAGAAACAAGAATTCAAAAAAATGAGGAGAGACTTAGGAACCTCTAGGACATCTTTAAACACTCCAACTTGAATTATAGGGGTACCAGAAGGGGAAGAGGAATGACCACAAGTGGAAAACTTATTTGAACAAATAATAAAGGAGAACTCCCTCAATCTGGCAAAGGAAATAGACTTCCAGGAAATCCAGGAAGCTCAGACAGTCCCAAAGAAGTTGGACCCAAGAAAAAACACACCAAGGCACATCATAATTACATTAGCCAAGATTAAAATGAAGGAGAGAATCCTAGAAGCAGCAAGAGACAAGGGGACAGTCACCTACAAAGGACTTCCCATCAGACTGTCAGTGCCTTTCTCAAAAGAGACCTTACAGGCAAGAAGGGGCTGCAAAGAGGTATTCCAAGTCAGGAAATCCAAAGACCTACAACCAAGATTGCTCTATCCAGCAAAGCTTTCATTTAGAATGGAAGGACAGATAAAGTGCTTCTCAGATAAGATCAAATTCAAGAAGTTCATCATCACCAAGCCCTTATTATATGAAACGTTAAAGGGACTTATCTAAGAAAAAGAAGATAAAAATATGAACAGTGAAAGGACAGCAAATTCACAGTTATTAACAACCACACCTAAAACAAAAGCAAACTAAGAGGACAGGTAGATCAGGAGTGAACCATAAAAATGAAGATCACATGGAGGGTTAGCAACAGGGGAGTGGGAGAAGGAGAAGTGGGGAGAAGGTACAGAAAATAAGTAGCATAGATGGTAGGTAGAAAATAGGGGGGAGGGTGAGAATAGTATGGGAAATATAGAATCTAAAGAACTTGAGACACATGGTCATAAACTAAAGGGGGGGAATGGTGGGGGCGGGGGGTGCAGGGTGGAGGGGAATGAAGGGGGGAATAGAACAACTGTAATGGCATAATCAATAAAATAAAAAAAAATAAGATAAAAGGTTGGAAAAAAAAGAATATCATCACTCCTAAAAAAAAGCCCCATCCCCCATTTACTATTTTGGGCCATACTCTTACCCCAGGCGGGTGAGGCATCCAGTGGAGATCTGGTTGTAGTAGGTGCCTGTGTCCACGGCCACCCTAAGCACCTGGTCCTGGCACTGAGAAAGAGGGTTGTGGGGATTTAGTCCCAGGAGAATAGACTGGGACCTTCAACTTCCTAGCCTTGGGTGGTTCCCTTGCAGAAACCAGTAAAGGGAATGAACTGAATCTTTAAGAGGCTTTTGTGGGACTCATACAATTGAGGCAAAATTGGCTCAAATAAGGGGATCCAAAAAAAAAATTAAATGAGCTGCACTTTGTGGTGAGTCCATCTGTTTGGAAACAATTTGATAAGGAATGGAAATCTGTTTGTTTAGAGGAATTCTTGGTAGGCTGAGGGCCATGCAGTTAGAGAATCTAGTTGGGAGTAGAGGAGCAGTGTGGAGACTGGGGCACCTTATTAGGAAATTCAAATGTGGGAAAGAGAGGCATCAACCATGGGAAGCAAAGGGAGACACGTTCGTTTTCTTTTGGATTTATACAGACATTTCGGGTTATGCTTGGGTATCACAAACATGTAGTTTTCTCATTCCAATCATTTAGTGGGCATATACTATACACAGATGTTGCTGGAAGGCACAGCAATGAATACTATTCTTTTGGAATCTAGGGGAAGTGAAACAGAACTACCGTATGGTAGAAAGGGTTGCCAGTAAAGTGCCCAAAACAGTGAGAAGGAGGAAAGGCTATTTCCTACTGGGGAAATCAAAAGGTTCCAAGGAGGAGGTAACCTTTGAGCTTAAAAGACTGTAGAATGTGGATATAAAATGATTGCAAAGCAGGCAGAGGAAATGCTGAGCAAACACCATGGCATAAGAGCAGTGCACATTTATTAATTTATTAGGAAAGTTCGATGCTGGTTGGTGGTCAAACGGCTCCAGAGATAACGAGGCCCTCACATAAGCTTTTGCAGGATGATTGCATTTTCTATCCACGCACACATGCGTGGTTCGTTATGCAGAGCACTCTGTAGGGCATCACACATCACACGCAGAGACCGTACTTTGATAAAGGAAAGGGGAATCATGGTGGTGCTCTGAAATTGCAGAGGGGAGATGGTCGGAGGCAGAGAATAAAGGAGATAGGGGATCCCATTTTTTTTCCAGGCTTAGGGGAGAGGTTCCTTTTCTCCTTCCACCTTCCCTCACCACCCAGGGCAGAAAGGAGTGGGTGGAGTGAGCCAGTCGCAGGCAGGATAGTTCATGAAAGCCAGTGGCCTGGGAGGTTCTCACCTTGCAATTGACTAGAAGAGCTGGAATCTCTGGTGTGCTAGTCTTCCTCCTGTTCTCCTGGCCATGAATCAGGGCCTGCTCCAGGGGAGACTCCCCCTGACTCCAGCTCTGGTTTCTCTCTACCAGGCGTCTTTGGATCACACTGTGTGGCTGCTGGCTCCATCACAGAACAATGAAGGTAGATAGGTCTAAAGCCAAATATCCAGGCTGCTCGGTTCCCCCACCTCAGATATCCCAGGGTGCTGTCTCCAACCCCGCCCCATCCTGAGTCTCAAAGGAGTAAGAAATGGGCAGAAGCCCATTACCGGAGGCTCCCAGCAGCCAGAGCATCAAAGCAGAGTGAACCCCAGTATCAAACTTTGCCATTTTTCTAAGCCCCCAGTGGATTGCTCAGTGATGAAGAAATGGAAAGAGAACAGTCCATCTAGTTTAGACTGATTAATATCAGCTCATAGGACATTTCAGGAACTAATATTATGCTTGGGAGAAATTCTCTTTCAGATCTACAACAAGCTATTTTTTGGGGGGACATGTTTCCCCCTTTGAGCTCATTCTTCAATGGGTTGCAGGTCCTAGGGTTAATGGTGCAATGAAAAGAAGTGAAAGCAACAACAAAAAAGGATAAAGTTAAAATCCTTAAAACTAGAATGCTGGAAGTCATCCTTTGACTCTCCTTCACCCGTAACCCCCACACCCTTCCAATCACTTCCTAAATTCTACCAGTTTTGCCTCCTGTGTTCATAGTACATCCCTACTTTCTATTACTGCCTTTATTTCAGACTCACCTCAGCTCTCCTGGATCACTGGGGTGCCTCCTTATGTTCATAAGAACCTGCCTCCAGTACTGTCACCTCTCAGGTACACCTGCTCCAAGTCAATGGTTATCTAAAACCCTTGTTATTCAAAGTGTGGTCCTCACACCAGCAGCTTTCACATCACTTGGAAGCTTGTTAGAAATTCAGAAAAGCTACTGAATCAGAAGCTTCATTTTAACAAGATCCCCAGATGATTCCTGTGCACATTAGAGTTTGAGAAGCACCCAAATAAAACAAAGCTAACCATGTTACTCCCAGGTTTAAAATCCATGAAAGCACCCTTCTCCCCATTGCTTACATGGTAGAGCTCAAACTTTTTAAGGCAATCCACAGCTCAGATAACCTGGTAACTGCCCAAATCTTCCTCTTCTCCCCTTTCCCATCACACACTGTTTGGCTCACCTGCCCCAGCCACCCTGCTTTTACTGCTTGCACCAGGCTGTTTTTCCATCCCTGCTTCTCCTCTCCCCTATTCCTGAGACTGGATAGTTAGCTCAACAATCTTTGTTTAGGAACTAACTATTCCAGAGAGGGTGCTGGGATTCCATGTGCATCTGGTAATTAGTGCAGGTTTATCTCCTCCAGGAAGCCCTCTCTGACTTTGTGCTCTTCCCTCCACACACAAGGCTAGGGTAGCTCCCTTAGTCACGTTTCTCACAGATGTCATTTGTGGATCTCCCCCGTTAACTTAGAGAGCCCTTGAGATCATGTCTGTATCTTATACATTTTTATATTCCAAGGCTTAGTTCGGTGTACAGTAGTTACTCGACAAATGCTTGCTGAAGAATAATGTATCCTGCCAGCCTCCATGCATGGTTCTCCACCTGCCCTCTCTCTGTGGGAGCCTGAGATTGTTTTTCCACCCACGGCCTAATGAGGCCCTTGAGGCTGCTCCCATGAGCAAGGCTGCCAGCAGGAGACCCAACTCTGGGAAAAGGGCAGCGAGCTCTGGGACTGGCCAGAAAGAGCGGCCCTGCAGTTTTCAGCTCTCCTCCCACCTTTCCCATGGGAATGACCCTTCTCCAGAAATCATATTGGATGGTCCCCAAAGAATAGGGGCTATAAGATTCTAGCCACTGGGAGCCAGAGAACCTGCTTTCCCTGTTCCCTCGTTTCTCAGCTGTGCTTACTATGCTTGCAAGGAGGAACAGCCCCTGGAGTTTCTCTAAATTGAAATCTCAGTCTGATCGCTTTTCCCTTTGGGGGGCTGCTGGGATAAGGCTGGGAGATTCCTAGCCTCTGGGCAGCGTTCCAGGAGGGGACACATTCAATTAGGAGGAAGGTGAAAGGGCTAGGGCACAGTGGGTAGTGAGGGCCGGTGATTACCTCTAGGTTTCCAGGTGGCAGGGGCTGCTGGAGTGGCCCGAGGCCCCCAGAAATGGCTTTGTACCCATCAGGTTGCAGGAGTTTCCACTCTCCTCTCAGCTCCTCTAATGAGGAGATGGGTGAGTGAACAGAATGCTCCCAAACCTTAGTACAAAAATCTTTCTTCTATAAACAAGAAGCTAGATATGATTTTATGTTCTCTGGACCCTACAGAGCTTCCTTTCTCAGGCTAAATGAAATAGTAGCTGAATGAATAACAGCATTTGGATAGTGCTTTCTCTCAGTCAGGCACTATTCTATGTTCTTTATGGGTATTAGCTCATGCAACTCTTGCAACAACCCTATGAGGTAGATACTATTACTTTTATCCTCATTTAATAAACAAAGAAATTGAGTCAGAGACATAAAGTAACTTGCCTCAGTTAGTGTCAGAGCAGGACCTGAATCCAAGCAACATGGCTTTCAAAGCCCAGGGAAACATATACATGCAGTTGTCCCCTGACCCACTCACCCCTTCACTGTCACTGCTCCACCCCACTCCTTCTGGAGGCCAAAATTGCTGTAGGGAATGGAAGGAAAGGAGCCTAGAGGGAGGTTTGGGGGGAGGAAAGGGACACCCAAGGAAGCTGGGTGGCCTCACAGGAGCTGTAGGGAATCCTGATGCCTTGGCAAGGATGGAAGACTTCAATGCTTCATTCAGAGGGGAAAAGGCAAATGAGTGGCCAGCCCGGGGTATGAGGGAGTACGGTTTAGGGAGAGTAAGGCAATCACAGCCCTAGACTGGCCAATCCTGCGGCCCTCTCAGCTGTAAATGACCGCTCCAGAGGCTCCTGTGTGCCTAAAAACCTCTACTCCTAAACAGCGGAGCTCACTCCAACATAAACCCTGGATTTGAGAGGGGAAGCTGAGCAATGAGAATGGGGTCTCTTAGCCACCAAGTCCGGGAAATATCCCAGTGAAGAGCTGAGAATGGCCAAAGGGAGCCCCTTGGGTTGGGGGGACTGCCTGTCTCCCACTCTCAGTGAGGGAGGGGAATCTGAAGGCTCAGGGTCTGTGCTTAAGGGTCCTTACCCTCACCCTCAGGGTAGGGGGCGGGGAGATGGAGAGAAAGGGCCAGAGGAGTTCTCCAGGGTGGGATGGGGAGAGGGTTGCCTCACCAAGTCCTTGGAGGTGCCCAGCCTCTTGAGGCTGTCCAGGGGCAGCAGGTCAGCGGAGTCCTTGTGCAGGAACTGGGTGGCCTGTTTGAGCCTGCGCTGCTGGCTCAGGTGGGCTCGGTCCCGAAACTCTGCCTCTTGTCCCCTCCTGCTGGAGTCTCCCCCTTCTCTCCTGGCCTCCTGCCTGGTGCTCATGGCCCCTGCCAGGCTTTTTGAGCTTGATGAGCCGGGTGGGAGCTTCTGAGGCTTCCTCCCCTCTGTCCTCTCTGCCTCCTGTGTCCCTGTGGTTCCTGTTTCTGTCCCCAGCCGCAGCTCTCCTGGCTCGAGGGTCTCAGAGGGAGGAGGAGGAAATAAATAAATAAATAAATAAATAAATAAATAAATAAATAAATAAATAAATAAAGTTCAGGAGCAACGCGTCAGACACCAATTCTCACAGAGCTCAGCAGAGGGAGTGAGGCTCCGCTGGAAAAAAACCAGCACTAAAGAGAGGGCAGCAGGGCCTGCAACTGGCGGGCTCTGCAGCGTTTCCGGTTCTGGGGGCCTGGCCAGGGTAGGTGGTGGAAGGCGGAGTGTGCGTGTGTGTGCGTGTGTGAGGGGCTGTAAAAGTGCTGTGGACTGTCAGGATGCCCATGCCAGGTTGTTTGAAAGGCGGTGTGTGTCGCGTGGGGGTGGCAGCCTGTGTGGATGTGCCTGGTGTGAGTGGGATATGCAGGCTTGGCAGCCACCACCCCTCCCTCCACACAGGGTTCTTGCAGCCCAGGGGTTAGAGTACCGGCCAATCACTAGGCTCGGAACCAGACGGTGCCGGAGGGGGGGGGAAGGGGGTGGGGAGGAGGGGGCAGCATGAAAATGTCCTTCCCTCCTTTCCTCCCCCTCAATAAGAGACCTTTCTAGTCTTAGCCTTTCAGTGTGGCCTGTGTCATCTTTATTTTATTTACTGTGGGGTCTCAGTTCCAGGGGTGGCAAGAGCAGCTCTGAGTCTCCCCACAAGCAGGCCCAGTCTCTCCTCTGTCTTATGTAAGGCTCCTCCAGTCATGGCTCTAAAAAAACTGCTGTAATTCAAACATGCATAAAGTTACAAAGAAGAACCAATAACCTTTACTTGGGAGCCTCCTAAAAAATAATAAACTGCTACAAATATAGCTGAATTTCTGCTTACACCTTCCCTTCTCCCCACCTGTCTTTCCTGAATTTGACAACTGTCATTCCCACACCTGTCTTTATTCTCTTCTTGCACATACATCTGTGTGTGTCCTGAGCGACAGAGCATTTAGTGTTGCCTAACCTACTGTGTTTATTCTTCTGCAACTTGTCCTTTTTTGTTCAATATTTTATTAGTGAGATTCATCCATGATGTATGTATGCATAGCTCTAGTTCATTCACTTTAACTGCTATACAGTATCCCTCTATACGAAGACAGCATATTTAGGAAATTTAGGTTTTCATTCTTTTTCTTGCAACCAGTGCTGCTGTGAACATTTGCACATCTCTCCTGGGGACATGTATAAGCATTTCTCTAGAGTATATACCTAAGGAGTGGAATTGTTTCCCTATTTATGCATAATTCCAAATTGCCTTCCAAAGTATTTATACCAGTGTACATTCCAGTCAGTAGCAAAGGGGATTCTGGGGCTTCACTTCCTCGCCAGCACTTACATTGGACTTTTTATAACCCTGGCTCATCTGTCTTCAGATTTTTCTCTTCCAGCCTTTTGTCTTCACCATCATCAAAATGCTTTGGTCAAGCACCTGCTCACATATATTGGGCACTCACAGGATGAGTACCCCACCAAAGCCCTGCTCCTTAGGCACATAGTCTGGTGCAGGCAGCACCACGGCACATGCACATTCAGACAAACCAGATGCCCACTGGTCTTCTATGGACCAAGCCTTTTTGAGGCACTTTCACAACCACTACAACAGTATGAGAGAGAGTTGTATCATGATCCCCATTTACAGATGAGGGAACTAGCTATGTGTTATGCTTTGATTTGTGTCCCACCCAGTTCAAATGTTAAAGTCCTAACCTCCAGTACCTCAGAAGGTGATCTTGTTTGGAGATAGGGTTGTTACAAGAGGTAATCAAGTTAAAATGAGATCAGTAAGGTGGGTCCTAATCCAATACGACTATGTCTTTATTAAAAGGGGAAATTTGAACACAGAGACACAGAGGAAGAATACCTCTGTGTAAAAAGTCTGAGAATGGGTAATTCATCTCCAAGCTAAGGAATGCCAAGGATTGCCAGCAAACCACCAGAAGCTAAGACACGTACATGAAACAGATCCTTCCTCATAGCTCTCAGGAGGAACCAACCTGGCCAACACGTTGATCTTGGACTTCTAACCTCTACAGTTGTGAGACAATACATTTCTCTTCTGGAAGCCAGCCTGTTTCTGGTGTTTTGTTATGGCAGCCCCAGGAAACTTATACACTAAGATTTAGAAAACTTGCCCAAGACTCGGTTATTATAGGGCAGAGCTAGGTACCAAACCAGGTCTTGCTCAGTTTCCATTATGCCAAAAGGAGAATACTGACAGAAATGATAAGCATGGAATGAAGACCAAAGTATGGTATGATTCCATTTATCAAGCTCCGGCCCACCAGATCCTGGCTTCAATTAAACTCAGTTTTAGTGGAATATTTCAGTTCTCTCTCATGCCTTTGATATCCATCAATGCCACACATTTGCCTGGAACAGAAGTGGAAGAGGATCCACTGACATGTTGAGCTGGTTTCTGGTGGTGGTTTCCAAGGGATTAATGGTGTGCATTGACAGGTCAGTGAGTAACCTGCATACTGTGATGCTGTGCAGACCCCAACACTGAAAGGTATCTCCTCCAACTTTGTTCTCAGCAATTCATTTCTTAGGTTTGAAAATTCTTCAAAATCTTCAAGAGTCCTTTATTAATTCAATTTTGGAGGAGTAACACTCTCAATGAACAAGAGTGAGATGACTCCAGGTGCTTAGCAGGGTTGCCTTGGGCCAGCCTGGTAACATGGATGAGATGTCTGTGTACTCAGGTGCACTTCAGTCTGCAGACTGCATTCCAGGGAAGATTAAATGTGCCTTTGGATGGGGTGAGGTTGGGGACATCAGTTTCTCTTCTGCAGTGGGTCTGATAAAGCCTTTGTTGCCTGGCCCTAGGAAACATGTTTGCTCAGGAAATGCCATTTTCTGGAATGTAGCTAAGTTACCCTGAATTTTGCATGTTCTGCAAACTAGGACTACCTCACTCATTATCTATCTCACCATCTTGGGGTGGGACTCAGAAGTAGGGAGATGCTCTTTTAACTTTTTGTGTCCCTTGGTTTCTTCCTTTGCAAATTTGTTCTTTACCCAAAGTTGCAGGGTGAACAGGAATGTTCTTGCAATACAATATTCTGAGCTCTTTTTTTTATCAAGGGCTAAAGACATTTTTTTTTGGTAGGATGGTGGAGAGTACCAGGGAATGTACTATAGCAAGTCTGTAACCTCAGCTGGGTTGTCTGTACCTTTACCAGTAATTCATCTTGGATCCTTCCTCTCATTTTTTATCCATTGAACTCTAATGATGAGACAGAATTACAAGAATACTGTGAAGGAGAATTAGACCATTCTAAATTGTAAAGAAGCAGAGGTTTTTCCTTTCCAAGATGATTGGAAGCTATCTATGATTGCTCTTATTTATTTCATCTTGTGGTTTACATAGAAGTGAATGGACCCAAATTCAGAAATACTATGAGAAAAAAATGGGAATGTGCTATATGACTCCCTCACTACACTGGTTCTCCTTTGAATTATAACAAGTTTTCTTTTCAAAATGAATTGTCAAAAAATATGTATTGAGCACCTACTATGTGTCAGACACCGAGGTAGACCCTTGGCATGTAGTAGTAAACCAGATGAAGTCCCTACCCTCCTGGAGCTCACATTCTCATGAGAAAAGCAGATAGTGAACAACTAAAATCATAATGACAGGTAGTGGTAAGAGCTGAAGAAAAGTAAAGCTGGGTGAGAGGAGAGCGTGATGGGATGGGGCTTGGGGGTGGCTCTTTTAGAGCAGATGACACTGTGCAGGGATAAGAACAAGGTGAGGGAGAGTCATGCAGGTACATGGAGAAGGGGTATTGTAGACAGAGAACTTGAAACAGTGCAGGATAGGCCAGGACAGGACTTATGTTGCACACTGCACCCCAAGCCAGATTTCATCCTGTCCATCCTCTCTGTCTGAGCTGGCTCCTCCTGTGAGCAGTTATTCACACGAGTAAGACAGAAAGGCGGGGTAAGAAGAGAACAGAGCTACCTGTCTCTCCCAGGATGAAACTGTTTCCTTGATCTTCTGGGCCCAGTGCTCCTCCCACCTGGGTTAACCTTCCCCAAACACTGATTCTGACAGACCTGAAGAAGAGCATAGAGCACTGCCAAGTAGGTTCCAAAAATTGCTGGTGGGCGATGTGCCTTCATATTTCTAGCAATGAGGAAGGCTGAGAAAGCCTCCAAAAAGGTAAGGTTTTCTTGGCCTTTACCCACATAAGCCCTCAGTCATTCTAGAGAACTTTCTGTATTTAGATAAGACCAGACAATACCTTGTATTTGCCATTGGTTGTCTGTCATTAGCAATTCTAGACTTGTGCTGATCAATACAATGGCCACAAGCCACATATAGTTACTAAGTACTTGACATGTGGCTAGTCTGTGTTGAGATCTGTTATAAGTGTAAAGTACACTGGATTTTGAAAACAATCTGAAAAAATGTGAAATATCTCATTAGTTACTTTTACATTGGTTACATTATTTTGTTGCCAATATTTTGGATCTATTGGGTTAAATAAAATATATAATAAAATGAAATTTAACCTGTTTCTTCTTACTTTTTTAAGATGGCCACTAAAAAATTAAAGTTATATATATGGCTCCACAATATTTCTGTTGGCCAGCACTGTTCTAAATATATTCACAGCTCATTTCCTTAAACCTGATATAATCTGAATTCTGGTCAAGATGGATGCATAGGTAAACATGACTCACCTCCTTGCACAACCACAGCAAAAATTACAACTAGACCACAAAACAAATATCACTCAGAATCACCAGAAAATCAAGCTGTATGGAAGCCCAACAATCAAGGAATTAAGGAAGCCACATTCATTAGACAGGTAGGAGGCATGGAGATGTGAGACACGTGGAGAAGTGCAGAGAGGTGTGGAGAAGTGGAATAGGCAGTCCCACACCCATGTGTGATGGATAAAAATCAGGAGGGATACCTTGGGAATGAGGGATTCCCAGCACCACACCAGACCACCCACCCCAGGGTTCTAGCACCAGGAAGATAAGTCCCCATAACTGCTGTCTGTAAAGACCAGTGGGGATTGGGGTGGCCAAAGAAACTGAAGGATTCTCCTGAGTCT